AGGGCAAAATGACCACAAGTGCTTGTTAATTAAAACCATTAACTTCTTTCAAAATCTGCCTGCAGAATTAGGCTTTCCCTTTTGTGACACTGGACTCCACGGGCTGTTTGGATTTGAAGGTAAAGATACATTGAGAGCAATGGCAAAGTATTGTAGTTGTCCCAGTGATCTTTTTGTGAGCCCCTTCATTGCTTTTACATTATGAAGAGCTATAAATGAGCCAAGCAACGAGTTCTTCTGTGGCTGTTACTTTTAAATTGTAAATCTTTCCATATTTTACATTGGATAAAGTTGCATGTTTGTCTTTATGACCTGAACTGTCAGATTAGTAGAACAGAATACCTTTCTTAATGTATCAAAAAGGGAAACATCTCAAAAAAAATAAATCATGTTTTCCTTCTCTCACTGGAGTTGTCTGTAGGACCGAAGAACTGATGTCAACTAGCGAGGCTATAGGAGCAGTTATTGGAAGAAATAAGAAGAAATAAAACCATTGTTAGCTAAATATGGAAGGAGAAATTAAAGAAGAGTGGAACAAGGCTCGATTAAGAACAAGAAAATGTAATGAAGTTGTCCTAACTGCCTTCTTTTGATGCAGCCTACTTTCCTCGTGAAGGCTCACCACATGAAGCTGAAGGAAGTTAGCTGCAGCCCAAGAGACTTGAATACACGTGGGAGTTATTGCCATAACTTCAGCAGTTTCCATGATTTCAACAATTCACTGTGTTCTCTTACACTTTCCTCTCTCTGGTAGGCCATGTCTTATTAAGGCATAGTCATCAGTGTGGGTTCTGGAAGGTCTGTGAATCAGTGGTGTGTGCTACTCACCAAGTGGTGGTGGTGGCCAGAAGTTCTCCTCGCTTTGCATCATCATCTCCTGAGGCACAGTGAGTGTTCAGAAGAGCTCTGGTGAAATCCCTGAATGCTTTCATGTGTTCAGGACGTTTGGAGATGATGTCTGTAGAGGGCTTGAGTTAGCTGTAGTGCTTGGAATGCACTGTAAGCCTAATTCATTGCCCACAGTGCTGCTGAACGACCTGCATCCAGGGAGATGGGCTGACTTTGCTGTGGAGGATTTAATAGGGCAAGAAGGTAAAAATCTGGATAACATCTGGATGAAAACATGCTGCCTTCACATAAGAAGGAGTGACAGGTAACTTTGGTTCACAGTCGGCAACCAGCTGTGTGAAATAGTGTGTGGTTTTGATCACAGCTGAATGCTGTTGGTCGCAGAGAGGAAGGTGCCCACAAACTGGCTGCGACCTGTGGGATTGCGTGATGATTGAGAGGAAGCAGTTTCACTCTTAGGCTCGCTCAGTGGATGGCAGAATGGCACAGAGTGCAGGGCCACAGCTCAGTGCAGCCACCTGGCTTCAGGGACACAAAGCTCCTGCTGCTTGAAGTGCTGGCACTGTTACCCTACCTCTGTGTCTGCCCAAGCGTTCGTGGGGGGGGAATCACATCAGGAGTTGTGTGTTCTATCGTAATTAACCATTTCTTCCTCTGTTAGTTTTCAGCTGGAGTGAGTTATTGGTGGTGTTTGTTATGCAGGTGGGTGTATTGTTCTGTCAATGCAAAGAAGGGAATGGCAAAGCGGAGGTGAGAGCAGCTCATTCAGCAGCAGTATGGTGTTTTCCTTCTTGAAGTGATTGTGCAAGTTTAGAATCTTGTCTCCTGTCTGGTTAATGGCAGTAAGGGTGGTTTCCTCTGGATGGTAATTTGGCATAGGCATCCACTTATATGCTTTGAGCTGTTCCCTGGAAGAATGTGCTTTTCTCCCTGCCCTGTTAGGGAGGCCAGCCTTCAGCACAGACAGCTTGGCTGGGTAGCAGCCATAGGACTGCAGGCACCATCAGAGCTGTCTGCCCACACCCAGTCCTTTTGTGGGTCAGTACTTAGGGAAACCATCCTTCCATGGCTTTATGCTGGTAGCCCTTTACTTCAGCTGTGGCTCTTTATGCATTTCGTAGCTTTCTCACGTTGAAAGGCTGCTTTTTATACACAGAAAAGACATAAGCATAGGTTGGCCAGGTTGGATGGGGCCCTGGGCAGCCTGGTCTGGTATTCAATATGGAGGTTGGTGGCCCTGCCTGGGGCAGGGGGGCTGGAGCTTCGTGCTCCTTGAGGTCCCTTCCAACCCAAGCCATTCTGTGATTCTATTAAGTTGGTGTTTTTCTTTTTGCTTATTCTCTATGAAATGGTAAACATATTTCTGAGAGTAGTTGCTTAATAGTGAATCAATGGGAGTGCCTTTGGAAAAGATAATTAAAGCTGTAATAGATGTTTATCAAGTAGCAGGTTTGGTTTTATTTTCTTTTAATGTTTTCAGTGCCAGTGTTCTGGATGGCAAGAAGGAAATGAGAGCAGCTGGAAATGGTTGTAGCACTCATAACCAGTGGATATGGGATTTAATGCAGCAGGCAAACCAAAGCTTTGTTTCCAGCATGAGAGAATTCCTTGATAAACCAAAGTTCCCAGTTTCTCAGGCATGCCAGCTTTCCTACCATCAGCAGCTGTGATAGCACTGTGAAAGCAGCCTGTCTCAAGCTGTGTCAAGTAGCATGACGTTTGATAGCCTCACCTTCAGTAGAAGAGAAAGTTGGTTCCCTCTTCCACCCTGTTCTTAATTCAACACAGCTTTAAGCCTTTGCATGTGTTTCATTTATGATCGAATGCTTAAGCATATCTGCCCCTCTTCATCTTTTATGTTTCTCTGAGCAATTAGCAACAAATGAATGATAGTTTCCTATGAAATTTCAGTCCTTGTGTATATAATCTGAGCTCTGGTTGAACTCTCAGCTCTTTGTACCACTTCCCTTGCTGTGTGAGGATTTCTTGGGTTTGAGTGCCACACTGTGGAGAGCAGGAATTGGCATACAGAGAAATGGAGAGCGTGAGGCTGTGGGAGGAGGTAGCTCCTGCACCCAGTTCGTATTCTGGATTTGCTGCCTGTGTCTTTCTGCTGATAAACCTAGGAATCTTAGTGATTATGGCACCGTTGTGCAAACTAAAGATGGGCAGTAGTGAGGAAGCAGTAAATGTTGGCCAGCTGTAGCATCTTAATAGAAGCAGAGCTAGGATAGCCTGTGCTTAATGCACTTGGGCTGGCTGGGATTACATTTCTCTCAAGCAACCTTTTGATTTCTTTCTTTGGAATAAGCTGCCAACTTTTACCAGATGCATACCCTAATTTATTTCTGCTTGTTTCAATTTTTTAGGTAAGCAACTCGTTTAATTACTAAAACAGGGTCTGTTCTGTAGGCATCCCCGTTTCTCACCCAGTGAGTTGGGCTATGGCAGCACAGCTCACTGGTGTGTGGTGCTGTGTCTCATTTAGAGTCTGTTGAGGGCATGTGTGTCAAGAGCTCTACAGTGAGAGATGCTGAGCAGTGCCCATCTATAGGGTGGGAGGCAGAGCAGGGGTGGCTCAGGTGAATGGCAGCACGCTCCTGCAGTTGTGTGTGTCCTTTGGCTGAAGTCTTGCTCACCAAAGCAGCAGCCTGCCTTCCTAAGCTGGTAAACCTTCCTGACACCATAAGCAGCATGCTGGAGTCTTTGGATGCTGACTGGGGACACAGGAGCAACCTGGTGTGTGACCAAGGGGTGCTGCTCCCTCCCACCCATGGAGCTCCTGCTGTGCATCGTCTGGGAGCTCACTCCTAGGTGCATTTACAGGTTTATTGCCAACCTGAATGATGCAGTTATTAAAGAGAGCCTTAGGAGAGCCCCACCTGGACTGCTGGGAACTGGCTGTGCTAGTGTCAGAGCTGCTGACCTCTGCTTTGTTCCATCAAGTGGAACTGCTAGTTCTGCAGATGGGCTTGTGCCATTTTTTCCTCATCTGCAGTCTTGTTACCTCCCACCCAATTTATCACGTTCTTTTCTTTAGCTCTGTCCTCCCTTCCTTTGGGAGGATGGAAAAGGTGAAACCTAAAGAGGTTTTTCCTCACACTTGAGATCATTGAAAGGCCATTTGCTCTGATGGTTTCACCCTTACCAGAGGGCAGGGAGCAAAGCACTGTTCCTGTGGCTGCTGCCTGGCGTTCAGCTCTCGCATCATCTTGTGTGCTTCAGCCATGCGTCTGGATGGGCTGAATGCTGATGGGTGGTGAAGGAAGAGGGCAGCATCCCTACAGGGAGGCACTTTGGGGCCATATGGCAGCATCTCTGGGAGGCTGATTCCCCCCTGGAGACCACTGCTGCTCCTGGGAAGCAATATAAATAGTGAGACCACGAGGATGTGGGTGTCCCCAGTGGGAGCAGCATTGTTCTGGCACCTCTGCTCCGAACCACCATCCCTCACACTGAAGTGAAGCTAGAGCTGGGCATGCTGTGCTCATCCTGCCCGAGGAGGGCACTGTGCTCTCATTCAAGATGGGAGCCCTGCATTGCTCACAGGAAACAGGCCTCGCTGCCTGGAGCCTTTTTACTTCCTTAGCAGGCACGGTAGGAGAAACTTAAGCATATAGAAAACAAGTAAGAATATAATTGGAGGAATTTCTAACCGTAAGAACTGAAGTCTTCATTCTTAGTCCTTTTTCCTCCTGAAAAAGCTTTGCAGTTCTCAAGCTTAATGCTTCGTGTCAGCTCTTTGCCTGTGACAGTACGTTACTTTTGTGTCTTTCACACGTATAGCCAAAGACAGACTCTGGTATTACTGATCTAAATGAAGTGAAATCCTAAAGAGGCTCAGTAGAGAGTGAAATTGCAGTAGATCTTGCCTGTGGGATTTGCAGTTCTTAAGAATCGAGGCTGTGCATCTCACGTAATACTTCTTGCTTTCCAAATAACTGGTGGGGGTGTCTCGCTGCGGGCAGCATCCTCGGTTGCCTTGGTTTATGGTGGCAGGAGGCAGGTAAGGAGAAATCCTTTCAGCATTTCATCCTCATAAGAGCATTGCAGCGCCTCGCTTAGGCCGTTTGCCTTTCAGGAGGGTTGGTGCAGCTGTTAAAAGGCACCGGGTGATTCCCGACGCTCATTCTTTTGTTTTTTTCCAACAGGGAGGTGAAATGGAAGGTGAAGCAGTCGAAGCCATTGTGGAGGAATCGGAAACTTTTATTAAGGGGAAAGAGCGCAAAACCTATCAGAGACGCCGCGAGGGAGGGCAGGAGGACGAGGCTTGTCATATAGCTCCCAACCAGGCAGACGGAGGGGAGGTGGTGCAGGATGTCAACAGCGGCGTGCAGATGGTGATGATGGAGCAGCTGGATCCAACTCTTCTTCAGATGAAGACTGAAGTAATGGAAGGTGCCGTGCCTCAGGAAACGGAGGCTACGGTGGATGACACGCAGATCATAACGCTTCAGGTTGTTAATATGGAAGAGCAGCCTATAAACCTTGGTGAGCTTCAGCTGGTCCAAGTACCCGTTCCAGTGACTGTACCCGTTGCCACCACGTCTGTGGAAGAACTTCAGGGAGCTTATGAAAACGAGGTTTCCAAAGGAGGCCTGCAGGAGGGAGAGCCCATGATCTGTCACACCCTGCCTTTACCAGAAGGCTTCCAGGTCGTGAAGGTGGGTGCTAATGGAGAGGTGGAGACACTGGAACAAGGGGAACTTCAGCCACAAGAAGATCCCAATTGGCAAAAAGATCCAGACTATCAGCCACCAGCCAAAAAAACAAAGAAAAACAAAAAGAGTAAGCTTCGCTACACCGAGGAGGGCAAGGATGTGGATGTCTCTGTGTACGACTTCGAGGAGGAGCAGCAGGAGGGTTTATTGTCTGAGGTCAATGCAGAGAAGGTGGTGGGCAACATGAAGCCACCTAAACCAACAAAAATTAAAAAGAAAGGTAAGCTGTGAGTGCGTTTTGAAAGTGCATCTGCTGGGAGGGGAGCCTTGCAGTATGGTTGCGGTGACTCAGTGGATGCAAGCAGGAATAAAGCAGACATGCCAGTGTCCCTTGCTGCCTCATTTAATAGCACTCAGTTCTGCTGTTTCTCAGGCACGTAGGCTGTAAAGGAGTTCATTTGCTTCAGTGTGATGCTGTGATATTAGTATGCCCATATAACTACAGTTGAAAAGATTCTGTTTTCTGCTCTAATACATATTTAAGACTTTGCGTCCGTGTTTTACATTGGGAACCAACAGTGCAGCTAGCGTTGTGATTTATTTTCTTTTTTAAACAAAGTGCTGGATAGGGTAAATGATGTAAAATACAGCAGTATGTACTTTCCTTTTGGGAAATTTAAACCTGTAAATTAAGGAACGCTTTTCAGTGTGGAGCAGGAACACTGAGTGCTGGCATAGGAATGGAAAATTCAAGCCAAACTAGTCACTGCCTGTGTTCCTAAGGATGTACAATTGGATGTAATGGTACAAGATTGCTTCTCACATTAGCTAAACCTCCACGGTGTTTCCTTTTCCCCGCTGACCTATTATTGTGTTATGCAGTAGCCCACAGTACCCTTGAGTAAAGCTGATTTCCTTCATGGCTAGGTGTAAAGAAGACATTCCAGTGTGAACTGTGCAGTTACACTTGTCCACGCCGTTCCAACTTGGACCGCCACATGAAAAGCCACACTGATGAAAGACCACACAAGTGCCACCTCTGTGGCAGGGCATTTCGGACAGTCACGTTACTGAGGAACCACCTCAACACTCACACAGGTACTCCTGCTTTTGCCTGCTTTGTTTGTGTGGGATTTGCTCTGCCTTTAGGACAAAAACAAGGTGATCTTTCTGATTCCAGTTACAAAACAAGCTAAGGAAGAATCTGTGCAGTGCTGTTGTCCCTTTCTCATGAATGCAGGTGTTCTCTGCCTGGCCAGGTCAGGTGCAAACCTCATCCATTCTATACACAGATTTAAAAAAGCCAGCCCTGGGCCCTGCAATTAGCTTAAACTTAGAAAAAAAATAATAATAATAAAATCCAGTTGTGTTGGACGTTTGTGGTTGTATCCTAAGCATTGTGTGGCCATTGCTTCTTGCAGAAAAGTAAGATGAAGAAAGAAGCTGGAGCTAAGAATGAGAGAATCGAAAGCAGAAGGGAGTGAGAGAGAGGGAAAAAGAAAGGGTTATAAGCTACATCAGTATAACTTTCTGGTATGATCTGTAGAATCTATTGCTCTTACTTAAATTCTGGTGTACAAAGGTAATTAAACAGTGATGAAACTTAAATAATCCTCTTGTGACTTCTGCAGGAGACTCGAAAAAGCAATAGTTCGTATCCCTCGTTGCTCTGCCTGCCTGTGCCCACATCGTGCCTAGCTGAGCAGTGTGAGGTCTGTGAGTTACTGAGTGATGTGAGAGAATAAGGGAGTTTGCTTCCTTGTAGAAGGGATGTTCAGTTCCTAAGAAGGCCTTCAGTTCAGTATTTATACAAAGGTCATATTTATGTTCCATTCAGCTCTCTAATCTTTGATACCACGCAAAAGATGGTGCCGTACTTTCTTCTGTTACTCCACCTGAATGCCTCCTTCCCTTTCTGCTGCCCACCCTCAGGTACTCGCCCTCACAAGTGCCCAGACTGTGACATGGCCTTTGTGACCAGCGGGGAGTTGGTGCGGCACCGCCGTTACAAACACACCCACGAGAAGCCCTTCAAATGCTCCATGTGTGACTATGCCAGTGTGGAGGTACGTCAGCTAGCTGGTGCTGAGGTGGTGTTGGGCTAAATGAATGGGTCTTTCAGAAGATGGAAGGAATTGTAGCGTGCTCCGTGTTGAAGGAGGCAGCCCTCTCCTACGTGGGCCGTGCATTTAGACCTCAGGTGCCCTGCAGTCTAGGACTGTGCATTTGACACGTTGGGATGTCTGCAGCCAAAATTAATGACCCTTTGCTTCAGTCCTGAAGCAAAAAGTAGCTTTGCTTATATCAAACGATTGTCTCATTTACTTCAGAGCATGCACTCTTGCTTGTATGCTCTATCCTGTGCAGGACTGTTACTTGTGCTTCGGGACAGCCCTGATATTGTAGCAGAAATTACAGAGCATGACAGGGAAAAGAAATCTGAGCTAGATGAAGGATGTGATTTAAAAAATGCAGTGTGTGCAATGGCAGGTCAGTGGGGAATGTTGAGTAGGGAGGTCAGTCTTTATCTCTGTGCTGTGGTTTGAATGTCAAACTTGCAGTACGAATTAAGACCAGATTTGTTTTAATGTGAGCTTGTGCTCTCTTGAGCAGACAGCAGTTCTCCATTTATGCAGCGTGCTCATACTTGAGTAGAAAATGACTTGGTTCATGCCTTCTAGATAAAACCAGGAGAAAAAGAAATTTTCACCTTGTTGATTGGAGATCTAGAATTGTTTTTACTAAGTTGATCATCTCACTCGAAGTAACTTAGCAGAAAGCACCTTCTGGGGAGAAATAAATGTTGTGCAGGACACTACGCTACCTATTGTCCCCACCTCCAAAGTTCCTTGGGTGCTGGCTCTCCCAGAACACTTTCCTGTGTCTCTCCAAGGTAGCTTCACATTTCAGCATCTCCTCAAATCAGTGAGGTGAGAATGAGGCTGTATAGAGTCTGCATTGAATGTGGGAACAGGCATCAAGCAAGGCTAGGAGCATCGCTGGGAAGTACAGAGGGAGGGGGAGGTTATGTGCAGCACGAGAACAGAATTGAAACGTGCTTGCTTGAGTTTGCTTTATTGGCAAGATAAAACAAAAATCAGTCACCTGAAATTCTCATCTGACTTGTTGTGCTTTCAGAAATCAGACCTGCTCATCTGCTTCTGTTCTTTCAGGTTAGCAAATTGAAACGCCACATTCGTTCTCACACTGGAGAGCGTCCGTTCCAGTGCAGCTTGTGCAGCTATGCCAGCAGGGATACCTACAAACTGAAGAGGCACATGAGGACCCACTCTGGTATTGTTGACACGTTTGTTTGTTTTTTAATTTTGGTGGCTTCTGTGTTTTGGTGTCAGAGTGCTGAATGAAACTGGCGCTCTTAATTGGCAAAGTAAACGTTTATTTTGTGTAAAATCTTTATCACGGCTTGTAGCTGAAAAATATACACTGTAATTTATAAGCACCAGTAAATACATAAGCCAACAGGAATTACTACCCTGAGAAGGGAGCTTGGAGGATTCCAATTTCGTTGTGAGGTAATAAAATACAGCCACTTGTAGAAAGCAGAGAAGAAATTTCTTCCCTTATTCGTGCTCCAGTTGAAGATGAGCCATTTTCAGTTTCGTGCTCATGTTTGCAAGAGCATCTCGTGCGTGTAGGGCATAAAGATCCTCAATTTTTTCTTTGATGGAAATAGCAATTGTGTTTAGCACAGAGTGTTGTCTGGAATGCCAGGTTGATTATATGGCTAAAATTGAAGCAGGGGGGAGAACTGCGCTTGTAATTTGAGTTTATTGAGTAATTTGAAGCTCTACCCCTCAGAAAATCTGCTTCTGCTTGCTGTTTTCCGGCAGCCTGCAGGTAGGTCCTCTCTGCACTTCCTGCAAGTAAGGGTATTAATTAACTGCTGTGCTTAAAGAGTAGACTTGAGTTTCTTTGTAGAAAGATGCGTACAAGAACAAAAAGTTCTAGAGAAAGAGACACTGAGTTACTATTTCTGCCTTCTGTCTATTGCAAGTTTCTGAGAGCTTGGGGCTTCTTGGTTGGATTTTATTTCAGTAAAAGCACTTGTGCTATTTCTTTTCCTTCTGCTACCGTAGGAGAGAAGCCATATGAATGTTACATCTGCCATGCTCGCTTCACTCAAAGTGGTACCATGAAGATGCACATTCTGCAGAAGCACACGGAGAACGTGGCCAAATTTCACTGTCCTCACTGTGATACTGTGATAGCGAGAAAGAGTGACTTGGGTACGTACCTCAGAAATGTGCTCGTCTGTTGGAAGTGCTGCAGAAACCTTTTCCCTGAATTAGAGTTCATCTGACCCAAATGCTGACTACTTTTTAACCTAACAGTTCTGGTAACTGTACCCAGTGAAGCCCAGGCTTAGACGTGGGGCTTGTAACACGTGCTTAGCTTCCCATCATTGCTGCAGACTGAGATTTTTCTGTTTCTTTTATGCATCCAGTGTAGGATGCATTCCCAGCATACAAGGCAAGAGATTTTCAGGCCCATAGGTGTGGACTGAAAGCGCCTCTTAGACACGAGGCGTTTATTCAGACCAGCATGTGGATTAGGTCTGAGAAACCAAAGGTCAGCTGACTTGACCTCCTGCATATTGGAGACCGTTACGTTTATCCACGTGTGCCTTCACCCAGCTGATGGGCTTGAATGTGAACAAATACTTTCGTTTTCCAGGAAGTGGAGCTGTGTGCTACAGACAGGATAGGAGAGACAGAATTGCCACAAAAGCCCTGAGTCCTTGCAGTAGAGAGTGTTATCTAGTGAGCAGTACCCAGTGATTCCAGCAGGCAAGCTCTCTGATGTACAAGAAGGTGAAAAATAATGTCAGCCCAGAGCAGCTGAGAAGGAAGAAGCCACCATTTGGCAGAACTTTCAGTCTGTAAGCAAAATACCAACCACGTAATGGAAAGGCAGGCTGCCTTCCAATTAAAACGAATGAGGAGTGCCACAATGAGGGGTGGCAGCCAGCTGATGTCAGGTGCCTACCAGAGCAATCGGAACTGATTTGCACCAGAGAAATAAAACCTGATGTTAGCAATGAAGAATTTGTTCTTCTAGGAGCGTTTCAGTCCACAAGGGGCTGCTTTGTGCAGCTGTGGTGTGCTCTCAGTTGGAGTGTTTTGAAGAAATGACTAAAACCTCTATTGGGGATTATCTGCTGGTATCCCTATTGCCTTCTAGCCCTGTCACTCTGGCTTCTAATCCTGCAGAAAATCCTGTTTCTGAATGTTATTACCTGGCTTCTGACTGAATTCAGGCAATTCACAGTAGAGTAGTCTTAAGTGGCTTGTGAACTGTTTTACTTCTGTAATCTTTGTGTGTTGCATAAGCAGTGCTGGCAAAAAATCTCACTGTGCTGTCCTCCAAGAGAGTCCTTGTGGATGTATGCTGACAGGAGCAGACCTGCTGTCCCTGCTGTCTGCTCTGTTTTGAGGCTAACATCCACTGTCTGAAAAACCCATGTAAAGTGCTGCTTTTTTGCATATAATTTGTTGACTTAAATCATGCAGCGTAACATCGAACCCTTTATCACTAGGAAATGCACTGTGCCAAGAGATTGCTACCAACTGCTAAATGTGGAATCTTGTGGCAAAGCTTGGCAGAGACATTTCTGCCTCTAAATGGTTCTGGTTGCTTTTTATTTGTGAGTCTTACTTCTTTGGTAGAATCTGAATCAATGGTTCGCTCTCCTGACTTGAACCCAAGAGCGCGTGGAGGGGAGTAGCGCTCAGGGACGGCGGGCTGCACTTGTCCATGGAAAGCCACGGTGATGAAAGCCTGTGATTCTTTGCTCCTAGGTGTTCATTTGCGAAAGCAGCATTCCTACATTGAACAGGGCAAGAAGTGTCGCTACTGCGACGCTGTGTTCCACGAGCGCTATGCCCTCATCCAGCATCAAAAGTCTCACAAGAACGAGAAGCGCTTCAAGTGTGACCAGTGTGATTATGCGTGCAGGCAGGTAAGTTGTGCTGCTGGCACCCCTCAGGAGCTTCAACTCGCAAAACGTGAGGGAGGAGCCTTTGCTGTGAAGTCGGTCTGGCTGTCAAGATCATAGAATCATAGAATCACCAAGGTTGGAAAAGACCTAAAAGCTCATCCTGTCCAACCGTTCACCTATCCCCAACAGCTCCCACTAAACCACGTCCCTCAACACAACATCCAGTCTTTCCTTGAACACCCCCAGGGTCGGTGACTTCACCACCTCCCTGGGCATCCATTCCAGTGCCTGACCACCCTTTCTGAAAAGTAATACTTCCTCATGTCCAGCCTGAATCTCCCCTGCTGTAGCTTGAAACCATTCCCTCTGCTCCTATCACTGATGACACGAGAGCAGAGGCCGACCCCAGCTCACTACCACCTCCCTTCAGGAAGTCATAGAGAGCAATGAGGTCTCCCCTGAGCCTCCTCTTCTTCAGGCTGAACATTCCCAGCTCCTTCAGCCTCTCCTCATCAGCTCTGTGTTCCAGACCCCTCACCAGCTTTGTTGCCCTTCTTTGAACACGTTCCAGGGCCTCAATGTCCTTCTTGCAGTGAGGGGCCCAAAACTGGACACAGTACTTGAGGTGCAGCCTCACCAGTGCTGAGATGAAATCAGCTCTCCCTTTTTGAAGGGAGTGGGGCGAAGGAGGGTTCAGAGGCCTTGTCTCTTGGTATGGTGCTCACCTATAGGGAGCCCCTCTAAGGGGGGTAAAGCACAGTGCTGATGTGTCTGTTGATAAAGAGTTGGTAGGCATCTATGGAATGGGAATAGCTGGGATTGAACGTGCTGTCAGTCAAGATGTACACCCCTTCCTGCAGAATCATCCTTTTTTTTTGCTCTTAATGCAAAGTTTTGGGCTCCTCTTGACCAAAAATCAGCTCTTCTGTGTCTGTCTGAGTTCTCAGGTTACTTTTCATGTCCTGCTTGTCCCTCAGGAGCGGCACATGGTCATGCACAAACGGACCCATACTGGAGAAAAGCCTTATGCCTGTAGCCATTGTGATAAAACCTTCCGTCAGAAACAGCTCCTCGATATGCACTTCAAACGATACCACGACCCCAACTTTGTCCCTGCTGCCTTTGTCTGTTCCAAGTGTGGTAAAACATTCACTCGCAGGGTAAGGGATTACACTGTTATGAATTAACATTGTTTTGTTTTGGAGTGGAACGAGGGCTGGTGGGGAGGGGGGAACAGAGGAAGAACGACGTGTTTCCCCAGAGGAAAGGGTGGTTGAGGTACAGGGGCTGTACTGACATTTGAAATGGAGCACTTGCTTCTTTCTGGGAGGACAGCTGATATAATTCAGAACTAAGATTGTCATATATTGAGATCAAATGCGGTGCAAAAATTCAACTTCATTCATAGAAGTTATTGAAATAAATGAGTCGTTTTCACTAATTATTCTTCCTTTATTAAGAAAAAACCCATAGACACACACACAACAAAAACCACAACAAGTAGGTTATCGAAAATATGGTTATAAATATAGGGCCAGAGTGCTTGAAGTGCTTGGTCTCAATTTCAATGCATGCTTTGTTTTTTTTTTGTTGTGTTGTTTTGTTTTTTTTCTTCCATGGAGTAGAACACAATGGCCAGACATGCTGATAACTGTTCTGGCCTAGATGGTGGGGAAGGAGAGAATGGAGGAGAGACAAAGAAGGGCAAACGTGGCCGAAAGAGGAAGATGCGCTCTAAGAAAGAAGATTCCTCTGATAGTGGTAAGAGCAGAGCAGTGCGTGCTGAGAGCTGCACGCCTGGGGTGCTGTTTGTTTGCCTGTTCTGTAGGTTTGTTCTGGTAACTGAAAGGTGTCTGTGTGGTTGGTAAGTTAAAAAAACAAAACGAAAAGACGGTCTATGATGAAGTACAGAGATGACTGCCTGTAGGGGATGGCACAGCTTCTGCCATCCTGTCCTTTTGTAGAGGCTAAGTAGTCAGGGGGAGAAACCAAAACACTTGTGTAGCCCCTTGCCTTGGCTGCACAGTCCCTGTTCTTCCTGCTATTGTGTGTGTTTTCAGCATCCCAAATGAAGTGTGTTTCTCTGTGTGAAATGTCACACGCTCCTGCTTCTCTGCTGCAGGAAAGCACGTGGCATGTCTGAACAACCAGCCCAGTGTTGAAAGGCTTGGCTGCTGCTGTTAGGAAAGGATGGGGACATCCAAGAGAACATTAGAGAGAGTGCTGGTAAATTCATGGGCTGTTGTGAAAGACATGCTGATGGCTCAGGGGGTTATTGGTGTTTTCCACCTGACATGTCTTTGCACTGATGTTGGGAAGGTGGCCACTGTGAGGCACCTGGCTGGCCAAGTCAAGTGCCAAAAGGTGAATTAAGTGCAGCTCAAAATAGAGTGACTGCTGTCTACAAGCTTCTCCAGAACAGGGAGGCAAACTGTTTCTGCAGATAGACTGCTTGCCTTCACTGAGGTATTCTTGATGAAGGAAAAACTCATAGCCTGTCTTCCTGCTGGAAGAAAACCCGTCATATCTTCAGCAAGAAAATCCAGATGGGGTGTAAAGACCGACCAGATCAAAGATGATTCTCCTAAAGTAGTATTGCAAAGCAGTCTTTCATCTGAAGTCCTTTATGTAATTAATGAGGGAATGTAGGTAGGGAATGTATCTGAAAATCTGAAGTGACAGACAGGTTTTACAGGACCTTGGACAAGTGTGGTCAAACTGGTGGTTGTGCAAACCCTGACAGCAAAGCTCTAATAAGAAGTCATTTCTTAAAGTCATGTTTGTACAGATATTTGGGAACGGTGTGTTGCAGTCCACTGGATGAAGTGTGGGTAACTAATAGTTCATGTAAAGCATGGCAGGATGTAGGGGGCGAAGTAAAATCACCATCTGGATAGAAACTAATTAAAACCAAGTGATTCTGGAGTGTCTGCTTGTAGTGTTTGGTTTGTAGGCTTCTAGTTGATAGGGTGGGTGTGGGTTTCAGACCAGTTTGTGGGGAAGCTGGTCACAAGTCATGCTTGTTAGGTGAGCCGATGGGTCTGGAGTGCTTGTGGCTCAGACTCCCTGCTGACGCAGCTCCTTCAGCCTCAGATGAGCTGCCAAGTTTGGGCTGACTTCCTCAGGAGTCATCTGATGGAGAAGCAATTCACCAGCAGGAGCTGAGTGGCAGTAAGAAAGCAGTTCTAACTACGTTCAGCTTTGGCATTTGGCTTTCTTATCTCTTGATCTGCAGCTTCAGGAGTTTCTACAAGTGCCACGTTTTCTAGAAAATGGTGAGCAGAGCTGTGACAAAGCAGGGCCTTGTGATGAGTCACCCTGCTCACGTGCAGGGCGTCCTGAGCACGTTGATGGTGCCAACCATGGTAACTTTAGGGAGTGCTTGGAGGTGGAGGGTTTGGAGTGATTAGCTCAGTTCACAGTATAAAAGCTGCAAGAAGATACAGCTTGCTGTGCGGCTTTGGATTGGAATCGGTTCCAGAGTGCAGTAAAATGCAGAGCTGGATGGGAGCTGTGTGGCTTTAAAATATACTGTAGTGGGCTCGCTTGCCTTGGGAAAGAGGTGCTGGGGAAGATCCTTTTGTTCACTGGTTGGTATGTTGCTGTTTGGAAAGCAGTGTGTGATCTGTAGAACTGTGTTCACCTCTGGTGTTTGAGAAACCCCCAGTCCTGGGTGGTCCTGTCACATTCAACTTAAGGCTTTAAGTTCTTGGAGGTAAGTTCCTTCTAGGGAGCTGCAGTGCTGGTTTCCCACTCGTTTAACAACAACAGCAACAGACAGATATGGCACTGTTGTTTCTTGAGGGCTGGGACTTGCTTTTGGATCACTCTCAAGTTCTGGGATGTGTCATAGAGACGCTGCAGTCCCTGCTGCCAGGTGAAGTCTGTTGGAAAACATATCCAGGTGGCACTTTTGGGATCTGATGGTTCCTAATGAGCGTGGAATTGCCCAGCAGCCTGTTACATGTGCTCCCCATCCTGCCATTGGCTCTCTGAGCTCCTTCAGAGGAGCTTTTACTGCATAGCCTAACATAGAAATAAAAAACACGTGCCTAAATGGCAATTCCTTGCCTCTAAGGTGAAGTGACAGACTGACATCCACGCCACCAGCTTCTTGGCAGGGAAAATGAGCATTTTGTTCTGACTCGACTCCTTGTGGCTGAGGATTTGGTGGTTCTTCTCTGTAAGCAGGTATTTCAGTCTTGATTGAACTGAAGTCTGACTCGATCCAATGCTTCTTTTAGAGGAAAACGCTGAACCAGATTTGGATGATAACGAAGACGAAGAGGAGACAGCAGTAGAAATTGAGGCTGAACCAGAAGTTGAGCCGGAGGCTCCTGCACCACCTCCCAGTAAGAAGAGGAGAGGGAGGCCACCAGGCAAAGCTGCCACCCAAACAAAACAATCCCAGCGTAAGTCACTTGTTGTGCTGCTCAAACTGCTTTTGTCCTTTGATTGGACCATTCTTCTAAGAGAGCTGCTCCTCTCAAGGGAGCTTATTTAAAGAAAAAAAACCAAAACTTGAAAAAATTGCACTTGTCTGTGCTTTGCAAAGGCTGCACCGTTGGCTTGAAATGAATTGCGAGTGCTTTCTGGTCATGAGGAAGCAGGGTTGCTTCAGACTATGCAAAAAAGAAGAGGATGTTTTTTTTCTTCAGTATTATCCCAACTCACAGATGTCCAAACTGCACGTTTCTTTGTGTTCTTGCACAGTTACTGCTTATGTGACTTTGTACAATCACTGTGGCATTCTTAGCACAAATGAGCGTGCTTCAGGGTTGCATTTCTGAGCGTGCAGATGTAGCCTCAGCTCTCCAGAGAAGAGAAATCAACAAGTGCAAAGCCTGAGTTAAAATTACTGGGAATGAGGCAGAAGGGGCCAATCCCCTTTCCTGCAGAGGGTGAGAGCTGCCTGGGGGCCTGGCTGTCTGCTCAGTGCTACAGTGTGGCCTTCCTGCATAGCAGCCTGCAGAAACTTCTCATGCTGCTGCAGTCACAAGTGTGACTGGACTTCCCTCAGTTAGAAGCTTTGCTTTTCATTGTGTGTGAAGAGGGGCTGCTCTGATCTGCTCCGTGCACATCTGTTGTTGGCTGCTGTGCAAGATGCATTGTTTGAATGTGGTCTTAAAGTTGCAGCGTGCCTACGTTTGTACTGTTAGCACATGTTCATGCAGGGGTGAGGAAATTCTTTGCTATGAGAGTGGTGAGGTGCTGGAACAGCTGCCCAGAGAGGCTGTGATGCCCCGTCCATCCCTGGAGGTGTTCAAGGCCAGGTTGGATGGGGCCCTGGGCAGCCTGGGCTGCTATGAAATGGGGAGGTTGGTGGCCCTGCGTGTGGCAGGGGGTTGGAGCTTCGTGATCCTCGAGGTCCCTTCCAACCCTGGCCATTCTGTGACTCTGTGGAATGGGTTTGTAGATGAGTGAAGAGGCTTGAGTCACTCTCCCCTGAAGTGGGAGAGTGGGTCTCACCTTCTTTTTCCATACGAAAGCCCTAAGTGTGTACTGAGAGGTGGTCTGATGAGAACAGCTCTGGAGCTGGCTAAAAAGCTGTTGTTTTCCTCTCTCCCCCTTTGTTTTCTGCCCCTCCAGCTGCAGCAATCATTCAGGTTGAAGACCAGAACACTGGTGAAATCGAAAACATCATAGTTGAAGTAAAGAAAGAACCTGATGCAGAAACAGTAGAGGAAGAGGAGGAAGCTCAGCCTGCTGTAGTGGAAGCTCCAAACGGAGACCTCACTCCTGAGATGATTCTCAGCATGATGGACCGGTGATGGAGGAGGACCACGCCGGATACTGAACTGGCCTGGGCTGTGTTTAAGCGGCTCAAATCTATTTTTCCTTTTACCTTTTTTTCTTGGCTTTGGGAAATGCATCATTTTAGACCATTTTACCAAACATACTGGGAAATAAAACTTCAAAATGATGTTAGAATGTGATTTAACTAGAACTTGCTGTTTTATGTTAGCATTACAGGATCATGGAACATTAGGAAATGCTTCGGAGTCCATGAGGGTTTCCCGTGAGGTGCTTGATTGGTTTTGTTCTCAGCTGCATTGTAAACAGGCTCCTCGGACGGCCAGCTTTACGTGCAACGAGTTTTTATGAGACAGAAGTGGAAGCCTTGAGTAGAATGTGTGGTAAACCACTCCGGACTTTGCCCTTCCAGATCCCAGAGTCCTTGAGCCTCCTTCTCTCAGTAGTGTTTTTAACTGTAAATGCAGACTTGGGAGGGTTCTAGACTTTTTAAATGTTTTTTGCTTTCCCCCCACTGACTAGCTCTGGTTCTCCAAGTCGGCTGCACACGGTAGTTTTGGCATGCTCCAACTGGTTTCTGTCCTTTTATGTGCTTTGCTTTCTGCAAAGCATTTCTGTAATGGTCAAGCTTTGTAAATAACTTTTTTTTTTTTTTTTATTTATTTTTTATACATTTTAATCTTTTTCCATTAATTAATTAAGAGGTATGCAAACAAAAATACAGTTTGAAATAAACCCCCTGGTATTTTAATTCCTTTTGAACTAAGTGATGAGAGGATCAATAGTGTAAATGTTGGAAAGGCTGTTGATAACTGATCCCACAGAGGAGATGTGTCCCCAGCGCTATGGCTTGTGGAACAGCAGAAGCCCACGGGTGAAGGCTGGTCTTAAAGCACACCAAACCAGCGTTGGAAACATGTAAGGAACCTTCCTTTTGAGTTATAACCTCACGACTACGTTTTCTTTGCTCTATCTTGTAGTTGTATTTTGTGTTTATGAATCCTTTGTTAAGACAGAAGTGATTTTGAAGTGGGTCACTGCAGCCCTCAAAAACCCGGGCCGGGCAATTTTAATAGGTCAGTAATTACACAATTTTGGATCTCTAATAAAGACAAAAGGAATAATGTGAAATACAAATGATGCCTGTATATGAAACTGTCACATGTTAAAATATGTAAGCTTTTTATAGAGCCTCAGTCTTGCTGATTTCAAACAAATTTTTCTTCTATGTATCGCTTTTAAGAGAGCTATCAGTTTAGCTATCAGACTCTAGGTTGATGCATTTTTGTACTTAGCTGTACTGTGTGATATTTTTCATTATTTTAGGAAGCCAACACGGGAAAAAAAAAAATACTGTTATAAAATATGTAATGGGGTTTGAAAGCTGGGAAGGAGAATATACTGCTGTACAGCTAATAAATAATAATGGATTAACGCGTGTGCTCGCCGGCTGCTTTCTTTGGGCTGCACAGCCCCTCCTGGAAGGCTGCAGGACAGTGGGAGCAGGGGGCAGCTGTCGCTGTGCTGCTGGTTCTGCTCTCGTTGTGGGTTTCCTCCCCCCAGATGCAGGGTGGTGGGGTGAAATCACGGTGCTGTCAGCTGGTGGTTGTGCAGGTTGTCCCTTACAGCTCGGGAGAGAGGGAGGCCAAGAGGAGGCTTGAAAGCTGGCCTGGCTGCTCGCTGATTTGATGGCTCTGGGGCGACCTCACAGCAGCCCAGCTGAGGGTGTGGATGGGAGCAGTGCCTGGAGCATCCTCCTTCACCCAATCTGTCACCTCGTGCCTTGCTGACCTGGTTTCTGTGTGTGCTCACTCACCGTGCCTTGCTTTACGTTCAGTTTGAGCCCGGCCTGATCCCAACTGCTGGCAGCTTCCACACTCAGAGGGACTGATTCCTGCCGTGCTACAGCCGAGGTGTCAGTGAGGGGTAAGAAGCACCAGCCGTGGCTTTCTCTTTGGCTTCTGTGGGAGAAAAACTAACGACCTCTTCTACTCTTGTCCTCACAAGGCTTCTGGAGCAGGAGGAGCTGCAGCTAAGGAGAAGGCTAGGCTGCTGTTTAACAGAGCAGGACATGGAGAACGTGGAAGAGAGATCAGGGTATTCAGTGATGCTCTTCTATTGCTGCTTAGTGACCTGGAGCCCAAACCTAATGGCAGCCTGAAGGATGCATCTGAGGGCGCTGAGGAAACCACTGTGAGGCCGTGGTCCATCAGCTTTGAAACCTCCTCGTTGACCTGAGGAGGTCTGTGATACCTGGAAGAAGATCCTACCTGTCTTCAGGAAGGGTAAGAAGGAAGATTTGGGGAACTACAGTCAGATCGCACTCACTTTTGTTCCCGAGAGCCAGTAAGCCTGCTGTCCTGTCGTCCTGGGAAAAGCCATAGATTCAGGCAGGACCACCCTGGGCTGGCCATGGCTGCTGCTCTTCCTTTTCCTGAGGTGATGAGGCTCTCAGGAAGGCACAAAGGTACAAAGCTGCCATGTGTTGTGGATGGGCTCTGGAGACAGCCATCCCTGTGTGGGCATTGCTTCCTGCCTTCACTTTTATGCTGAAGATTTGTTTCAAAAACGCTGCAACCTCGGGTGTCCACAGCACCACGCTGGTGGTGGCTGCTGAGCCAACGCTGGCAAACGTTGGGCCTGAAGTTCTGCGGCTCTGCTCCATCCAGGAGTGCTTCTATGGTGGAGTCTGTCTGGAGCCTTCCCTGGGAAAGTTTGCATTGCTCCAAATAGGCAACCCTGCTTTTTGGGGCACCAGCCATGGGTGGCCAGGGGGGCACCATAATGTGATCAACAGCAACACCCGTCTACATCAGCAGTCCCTCCAGGTGCCCAACACGAGCAGGATGACTTCTCCGTGCTGGGAGCAGCTCTTCTCACCCTCACCACTCACCTCCATCCGCCGAAGCAGAAACGTGTTCCCAAAACCAGTCTCTCTGTAGGGCAGGAGGACACCAGCGAGCCTCCGAGCTCGAAGGCACTGCTTACAGCCCCCTTGTGAGCTCAGAGATGCTCTCAGGGTCTCGCTCTCAGGGTGCTGCGTGGGCTGCAGGCTCCGTCGCTCTCATCTCTCATCTCTTGCTGGCTGGGTAAATCTTGCCTGACGGGGCAGGAAGAGGCACCGAGTGCAGCGAGGGGGAGGAGGTGCTGCCAGTCGGTAACCTCAGTGCTTCCTCCCGGCACTGAGCGGGGGCTGTGCTGGAGGATGCTGCCCTGACCCCGCCGCTCGCCCCGCCATGGCCGTGTGCCCCGGGGGGATCCCCGCCGAGCTGCAAGGTAAGCGATGCTGTGCTCTGTGGGTCACTGGTGGTGCAGGGCCTCCTTGAGCCTACGGCTGCACTGGGGGTGGCAGAGCTGCTTTCAGCTCCTCATGGCCCATGGCCATATCTTAGGGAGTTCTGAGCAGGTTCGCTTGTTCTTGCCAAGCTTTGCTTGTTGAGGATGCTGCTGAGGCCAAAAGTGTCCCCGAAAAGCCAGGCTGCAATCTCAAGGATGTGCTTCTGTGCAGCTCCCACTGGCCATCAGGGTTTGCTGGTGGTGGGGTTCCCGGGCGGGCAGGGAGGGCTGCAGAAGGGATGATGCAATGGGGACCCATACGTGCTGCTTTTGCCCTCCTTGGGTGCTGACCAAGACAGCAGAGTGGACACAGATAGAAACCCACCCCAACGGGATGGGTGTGCAGAGATGGGGCTGGGTGAAACCATGCAGCGCAGGGACGCGGAAATCCAAGCGAGAGCTTTGACAGAGGAGCTGTGGGTGCAGGAGCTCTGCCAGCAGCAGGGCTCAGCGTCACCACCACAGCTCTGCCTGCTTTGCATGGGGATGAGCAGTTGTTGCTCACGGTGCTGCCATCCGCCTCTGAGCAACGGAGGCAAAGATTGCAAACACAACAGGACCGGCACGTGCAGTGACCGATGCACGTTGTGGCCAAGGGGGTTTCCAAAGGAATGCATGGGCAGAACTCAATTCTGGGCGTCCCACAGGGAGGGCAGGGCTCAGCTAGACAGGATCAGTGTAGGACAGTGTGGTTCTGCATCCCACTGGTGAGCAGGGATGATTTGGTGGGGTTATGGCCCATCTGGAAGGATGCAATGGGGTGCTGCTGTGGGTCAGGGGAGCTGGATGCCAATGGTATGTGTGCCTTTGGTGCTGCCTGCTGGCATGGGGGAGAGAGGATTGCTGTGGGCATGCAGGGCAGCCATACGAGGGTAACTCTGACACCAATCCTTACAGAGGGCATCGCCACCTCCCTGGGGGCAAAGCAGATCCTCCTGCTCAAAAGCGTGCAGCTGCAGGTGAAATCCAAGTACGACGACTTCATTTTGGTAGGTGCAGAGTCCCGTGCGGCGTCCCTTTGCATTCAGCCTGAAACAGGGCCTAAAATCCACGTGGGGGGAGACTACTGCAGTCTGCATCGTTTGCATCCATCACACTGATTTCCCCCTATCTAGGTGCTGACACCCTGGCGAGCCTACGTGCTGCTGGCCATGCTGCCGGTCAGGGTGAGTTCTGAGCTCAGTCAGGAGAGCCCCTGGGCTGCAGTGTGGGGTGGGATGGGGGAAACAGGGGGCTGGCATGGGGCAGAGGATGGGTCCCATCCATCCACGCTGTGCTGCTCCAGCGCTCCCCTCCCGCAGGTGCACAGCAGCTTCAGCTTCCTGGAGGTGAGGGACATCACCGTGCGAGAGCCCAGCGTGGTGAGTGGCACCGCAGGGGGACCCCGTGGGGCTGGGGACAAGCATGGTTGCAGCCCCGGCTGTGACGGCTGCTCCTGCTCGGTGGGGACAAGGTGATAAAGTGTGGCTGGCTTAACCCAGGCGAGGCCAAATTTAGCCAGAGTGTGTTTTAAACCCCGCTAATCCTCTTAGAGCCGGGCGGCAATGCAGCGCGGACGGAGCGCGGAGAGGAGCGGGACGCTCTCCATGGGACGCCTCAGCCAAACGCGGGGCTGTGGTCCCCGTTGGCATCCACTCTACATTTTGCTCTTTAAAACGTTGTCAGAAAGGAGCATTGCTCGTTAAAGCGTTGTTCCAGCTCTAAATGGGGCTCCTGCCTGGGCCCTAGCAGCAGGCTGCAGATCTGAGCTCGGGGAGAGAGCAGAAAGCCCAGCACCTGTGCTTGGCTCGGGAGCAGCCCGCAGGCGGTCCCAGCGGATCGCCGTGTCTTCCTCCTGCGGCTCAGCCGGCCTGTAATTAAATCAGGGAGAGCGTTGCCATGGGATCTGGGAGGAGCCGAAAGCTAAAAAAAGGCCTGGAAACCCAATTAGAGAAATTCAGGGAGGAAACCTTCATTGGGGGCTGCTCGGTGTAGCAAGGGAGCAGGGGGATTTCTTGCAGATGAATGGCTGTGGGACCGTGGGCACTAAACCAGCATCATCCCGCAGCTACTGCAGGTTAAGCACTCTTCCCTCCCCGTTTGGGGCTGCTTTTACACTGAACCTGGGGGGACTGATGCCTTATTCTGGCACATCACGTCATCTTTAACGCAGTTCATCCCGTCCACCCGGTGCTCTCAGCCCCAGCCTGTGCAGGCAGAGGGGATGATGAGCAAAGGCGAGTGCCTGGCTGCTGTCACTGCCGTGCCTGCGGGCTCAGGGACGCTGCCAGCATTCCCAGGCATCTCCCATCCTTTGGGCACTCTGCAGGTTGCCATAGAAACAGACACATCCTCGTATGCCTTCCGGCTCATGTCCTTCGATGACTTGGAGCAAGTCGTTGTCCATGTCACCATGTCACTTAAGAAGGTCTTTCCAGACTCATCCCCTGGGTAAGGCTCCCCTGCTCCTCAGGGTTTGTCATGTAGGCATCCGATGGGTCGTGTCACCTATTTGCTCAGAAAGACCCAAAATATAGGCTGGGTTCTTGCACTAGGAGAAGGCCACAATGATGGAGGCCAAACGAGTGCCCTGTTCCACCCTATCACTCAATCACATTGGGACAAATGTTTCTGGTCACCATCTGAGCTTGGCACAGGGCTCATAGCTGGTGGGGATGCCCTGCCAGCCCCCCAGCATGCCCTCCTGCCCTTCCCCAGGACGTTGCTCAAGAACTCACCCCCCAACCTGTACGAAAGGATCCGGATGGTCACAGATTCACTGGAGGAAATGCTGCAGAGCAACCAGGGGCCCTGTGGTAAGCACACAGCCCATCCCGTGGGGCAGCAAAAAAGGGACAGGGCATGCAAGGATGGAGAGCCAGGGTGCCACCCTCCCCATCAACACAGATACGGACCAGGCAGGATGCTCTGGTCCCACTGAAGAGGGACAGGAGAGCCCTGCCTTCCTTCTGCTTTCTGCCCATCTCAGGGGTCCTTTGCGTGTTTCCTTGGGAAGCACTGCTTGCAATGCTGCCTTCTCTTTGCAGGTGGCTTTTCAGAGACATACGCTGCGTTATGTGATTACAATGGCTTTGCCTTCCGTGAGGAGATCCAGTGGGTGAGCCTCCCCCCACCACAGAGCATCCCAATGTGCTGGGGGGCAGGGGAATGGGGTGAGATGGGATCCCCCTGGGTTCCTTGCAGGGCTGGGGACATCCCAGCATCCCCATGGAGAGCAATCCATGGGACAGCTGTGCAGGGACCAGTGCAGGTCAATAGGGTGCCCACAAGGTGGATGCCCCATCCTTGGAGACAGTTGAGGTCAAGCTGTCCCCTTGTCCTGGTGCACAGCGACCACCCCGAGTCCCCATTTCCACCACAGCGATTCCTATTTCCCTCTGGCTTCTTCTGGCCAATATCCAGGACCAGGGAGCCACCAAGCAGTGATGAAGGTTCCCATCCATTTGGGACACGTGCCTTAAGTCTCAGGGGACATCTGTGTCTGTGGGGCACTGAAGGTGCAGGAGTGGCACTGAGCCCCTTCTGTACGTCTGTCCCTTGAGCAGGACGTGGACAACATCTATCACGGCCAAGACTGCCGGGAGTTCAACCTGCTGGACTTCAGCCACCTGGAGAGCAGGTGAGTCCTTCTGCAGCACCGCCTCGCCCCCATCCTCAGCACCCACGGCAGGGCTTGCTGGTGTCACGCCTCAAAGCTTCGTGCTTCAAGGAGAACGCATCTGCAACCTCTGCTTGCTTCCTCTGAGCCCACGCAGCCGGCAGCCCCGTCCCATGGGGCAGGAGGCCGGGCAGCCTTCGCTTTGAGCCCTTATGTGAGCCTGGCAGCCCTGCGCTGAGGTGTGAGCTGAAGGCTCGCACCACTCAGGCATTTCCCTATGCAAAGCAGCCGGCTCTGCTCACAGATGTGAAGCTCTGCATGAGCCCTGCCACCTGCCCCCGTCTCTGCTCTCACGTGGGTCGGAGCCACGTGCTTGGGGATGGACGTGGGGGGCTGCAGCACTCTGTCACCCCACAGGGACGTGGCGCTCAGCGTGGCCGCCTTGTCCTTCAACCTGTGGTTCACAAAGCTCTCCTGCAAGGACTTCAGGCTGGTGAGTGTCCGCACAGGGAGCTGGTCTGCCCTGAGGGCTGGGAATTGAGCAGCTTTGTGCCCTTGCAGAACCAGGAGATCGCCGAGCAGCTGCTCTACATGCTGAGCAAGTCGGTGATGCTGGAGGAGCTGGTGCTGGAGAACAGTGGGCTGAGGGGGTAAGCGGAGTCCTCACCTCTGCAGTGCAGCCTGGGCACCTCGATACAAAGACATACAGTTGTTAGAGAGCCTCCAGAGGAGGGCTGTGAGATGGGGAGGGGTCTGAGGGCACTGCGTGTGAGGAGAGCTGAGGGCTCTGGGTCTGTTTGGCGCAGAGCAGAGGAAGATGAGGGGAGGTCTCTTGGTGACCTACAGCCCCGCACAGGGATTGGATGCCCCATCCCCTGCCCTCAGAAGGCTCCGTTATTGATTGGTAATTCTATGGGGTGGGTGTCCTCCTCTCCACAGTGACTTTGCTCAAAGGATGGCTCAGGCCCTCAGCAGACATCCCGAGTCTGTCCTGCACACCATCAACCTCGCTGGCAACCAGCTGGAAGACAGAGGTACTCCATGGGGTGAACCCAAGCCCACACAAGCTGTGGTTTGATTCCACATCCCAGCCCTTCACCCCTCATGGAGTGGTTTGAGTTGGAAGGGACCTTAAAGGCCAGCTGGTCCCACTCCCTGCACTGAGGGGGGGTCACCCACAGCTCCATCAGTGCTCAGAGCCGTGCAGCCTGACCTTGGCTGTCTGCAGGGATGGGGAAGCACTCTGGGCAGCCCTTTGCCCATGGTGGTACCCACAATGCCCGACTTCCACATGATGTGGGTGCTCGCTTGTGCTGGCAGGCACTGAGGGCTTGTTCTGTTCTCCCCAGGGATAATTGCTTTCAGCCGGCTCTTTGAGGAGAGACCCAGGGGCCTGCAGAGCCTCAACTTGGCCAGGACAACGCTTACTGCTAAAGGTACAGCCAAGCAGAACTCCTGGGGAGGCTCTGAGGAGCCTTGTGAGGATGTGATGATGTGGGATGCCATGTCCTACTGCCCAAACCCATCTCTCCCTCCACCCAAGCAGGGATGAACGCGCTGTGCCAGGCACTCGCAGCCAACGAAGCCATCAGCTCCTCTCTTCGGCACATGGACCTCTCAGGGAACCCTGGCAGCCTGGCCATGGAGGACACCAGTGTGAGCATGGGGTGGGAGATGCCACCAGGAGCAAGGAAGCACCTGGGACCATCAGTGCTGGGGTTGTTGGGGTGGAAAGCGTGGTCCTGGGTGATGCTGACCTTCTCTCTTCCAGAGCTTGCAGAGCCTCCTGGGCCGGTGCAGCTCGCTCACACACCTCAGCCTGGCTGCCACTGACTGCTCTCTGGACACCGTGAGTCCAAATCCCGTGCTGTGGCCTCATGGAGAAGCTTGGAGCTGATTGTCTCCATGGGGGTTCATCGCCACTCTTCCCTTTCTGGTCCATTTTGGGGTTGTACTCTGTCTGACTTCTCCTTGATGCCATTCTGCAGCTCTTTGGGGCACTGGTCCGTGGATGCTGTGCCAGCCTGGTCCATCTGGATCTCTCCAAAAATGTGTACTCACACCGGTGAGCCCTGGGCCATGGGGCAGAGTGGGGAGCCAGTGATGTCAGATGATGCCATTCTGCGTCCTTCCTTTCCAGAAGGGTGAAAACCATCTCTCCTAGTGTCAAGCAGTTCTTCAGTCAGGCCTGTGCACTCAGGCACATCTCCATGGCGGGGACCAAGCTGCCTCCAGATGCTGTCAGGTATGGGGTGGGATTGGAATTGGGACCTGCTGGTGGGGGGTGGATGAATTTGGGGTGGACGTTGGTCCTGGTGATCACACTTGGAGTTTTTCAGGGATGATGGATGGGGCCGTGAGGGGCAGAGCCTGTGTTGCCCACATTGAGGGTGGCTTTGGTGACTTTTCAGGGCTATGCTGCAAGGACTGGCGTACAACAGCCACATCAGCGACCTGCACCTGGATCTTAGCAGCTGCGAGGTGAGGGCAAACACCCATGGGTGCCATAGGTCCATGCCCTGCACACCGTGGGGCCAAGTGACCGTCCCGACGGCAGCCTCTCATTCTCAGGGCTCCCCTTGTACTGATGTCTTGCTGTTTGTTCCAAGCTGAGGTCAGCAGGAGCTCAGGTCATCCAGGACCTCATTCCCGATGCCACTGCCATCAGCGACCTGGATCTGTCTGACAACGGTGGGTTGCCCTTTCCTCACCCAAGTTGTCCGGCCTCGGGCTGCTCCTCAGCTTGTAGAAGATGGGTCCCAGCAGGCCCCTCACCCCCAGCGCTGCACGCCTATTTCAAAGGCTTGCTGCCCTCACAAACTCTCCAGCCAAGATGTAATTACAGGCTCTGTGAAGCCATGTATCCCTCTGGCTGTCTGTGCCCACAGGCTTTGACTCTGATATGGTGACGCTGGTGCTGTCCATTGGCAGAAGCAAGTCCATCCGGCACGTCTCTTTGGGAAAAAACTTCAACATCAAATCCAAGTGAGTGCCACCCGCAGTGCTTTGTCCCCGGGCTGAGATCTCCTCTGCCACCATGCGTCCATCTCAGGTCTCCATTCCCATCCGGGCCCTGGGTTTGGTGGGGAATGTCAGTCATCCCCTACCCATCCCTTGGAAACACAACGGGAAGCCCAATCCCTGTAGGACCCCATCTTCACCCAGCGTGGGCAGGAGGAGAAGGGCTGGCTCTGCTGACTGACCCAGCACCCGTGGGTGCATGCATTACCTCCTGCCTCCCCCACAGGGATGGGCTGCTGGACGTCCTGCACCGCATCGTCCAGCTGACCCAGGAGGATGACTGTGTGAGTACAGCGTGTCCCAACCACCCCCCGTGTCCTGTCCTCAGTTTCCAAGCAGCATCCATCCCAGGTGCACCCAGCATGCCGGCCGGGCTCCATCGAGCATGGGGTGGGAGCGTTGATCCCTTTCTTCCACCACCGTCTGAGCTTTGCTTTTCTCTTCCTCCATCCAAAGCAGATGCTCAGATGGAGAAGCGAAAGCTTCTGTTTGGAAGGTGGGAGAGGGGAGCAGGAGAGCCCGTGCCTGCCTGAAGGCACAGAGGAAACGCATGGTGTGACCTGGCTGTCATCCAGCTTCCCACAACCGCCTCTTTCCTCCTCCCTGCCAGGCACTTGGGCTCAATCCTCAGCGCATCCTGAGCACTCATTGCTCTTGGGTGTTGGCGTGTGCTTTTTGGATGCTGGAGTAACGTGGGCCGCTATGGCAGCCAGCAGCCTGCACAGGGCAGGGATGATCACCCAGGTGCGCTGTGACTGTGACAGCCACGTTTCCCTTCCTGTTCCCCCACTCAGCCCCTCCAGTCCCTGTCTGTGGCCGAGTCACGCCTCAAGCTGGGCACCAACGTCCTGCTGAGCGCCCTGGGCAGCAACACCAGCCTGACCACACTGGACATCAGCGGCAACGCCATGGGGGACACCGGTGCCAAGATGTTGGCCAAGGCTCTGCAGATCAATACGAAGCTCAGGTAGCAGCAGGGCTATGCATACCTCCTCCTTTGGTCTGCTTTGCACGGTGGTGGCTGTGGTTGAGATGCCAAAGCCAGTGGAGGATGCTCCTTGTGACCACAGACCTGGCCCTGCACGGTTCCTGGCCGGTGGGCAGGAGCTGTGGCCAGATCTTTGTTTTGGACCAGCCAGCTGGTGGTGCTGGTGACAAATATGGTGACACACAAAGGGCAGAAGTGCAGCTGAATAGCATCCCTACACAGTGGCCCTGCACCATCGTGTGCCAGCTTTTTGCTTCTGCGCAGCCCAGCAGGCTACAGCTAGACTCACGCAGTTACTGTCCCACTCTGCTCTGTCATTCAGCTCCTAAAATGTCACTTTTGGACTAAATCCTGCATGCAGAGAGACAGCAGCTGCAAGTGAGAGGTCACGTGCAAGGCTGATGTCCTGCTTGCCAGGCTCATTCCTGTCCTCTTCTCAGGACCGTGGTGTGGGACAGGAATAACACCACTGCCCTCGGACTCCTGGAGGTGGCTCAGGCTTTGGAGAGGTAAGGATGGAGCAGCGTGGTTCTCCCAGCCAGCTGCCACCATGCACCAGAATGTCACTGTCCCCAGGGGCTCTTGTCTCCAAAAGCATCACACGAAGTACCAGCGGGTTGTGTGCAGTGATGGTGGCATCCAGAGCTCTGGGGCTGGTTGGGATCCAGCTTTCCTAGGACCTGCAGGGGATTGTGTCCCAGCGGGCTGCCCTGCTGGGGTCCGCGCCCTTGGGGCAGCGCCCTCCACTCACCCCACCTCTGTCTGGCAGGAACTACACCCTCAAATCCATGCCCTTGCCAATGAGCGACGTGGCACAGGCGTACCGGAGCAACCCCGAGAGGACAGAGGAGGCGGTGCACAAGGTGGGACAGAGGGTTGGGGTGGGGACCGGGGCTTGGATTTGGCTGCTCACGACCACCTGCACTCCGCAGCTCCAGTCCTGCTTGGCGAGGAACCAGACACGGCGCGCCCTGCCCACGCAGACCTTCCGGCTGCAGCAGGGCATCCTGACCTCCTCCTCTGAACAGGTGAGCGTTGCCCCATCCGCCATCCTCCATCACCCTCAACCACACGCTCCTCTGGGAGGCAATGGGGACTGGCTGGTGATACGGCTCCTCTGCGCTGCAGATGGTGAATGAGATCTGCTCGAGTGTGCAGAAACACGTCGACATCCTGAGCTCCTGCGTGGGCAGGGAGATGGAGGCAGACATCCTCCGTGCTGAGGAAGCCATCAGGAATGCTAACCTGGCCGTCAGTGTGAGTCTGCATGAGGACAACGAGAAAACGCTTGGCCTGTGGGATTTACGTTCATATCAAAGTGGTTTATTGATTCATTGATGGCATAATTAACTGGCAGCCAGTGCCTATTGCTATCGTCAGCGCGACGGCTGTGTGTGAGCGAGTGCTTGCAAAATGTTCGGGAAGAGCTACAGAATTTGGAACTTCCCTCTGTAACAAGTCCTCAAACCCTCACCTGCATAGGATGGTAAGATGGTTTAGGCTGGAAGGGATCTTGAAGATCATCCAGTTCCAACCTGCTGCCTTAGGCAGAGTTGCCGGCCACTAGATTGAGCTGCCAAGAGTTCCATCCAACGCATCTCCTGTCCTTGCTTCTGGGGCTGTAGGGAGATAAAGCAGGACAGCACCAATGGAAACCCCAACAGATCACCTGCCAACGCTTTTCCATGGGTGTACGCTTCCCAAGGCCAAGCAGAGGCAGGGTGCCATGGGATGGATGACTCATGGGTTCCCTCTCCTCACCACAGATCTTGCCCATGTTGTACGAAGCAGGGAATGCCCCACACCAGAGCGGCAAGCTGCAGCACAAGCTGGAGTGCCTGGTGGAGGAAGCATCGCAGACCTGCGGCCGGGAAATCCAGGTGGGAACACGTGGGGAGCTGCTGGGCTGGGATGCTCATCCACCCAGTACAAAGATCCAAGGACCACGTCCCTTTTTACCACATCCACGGCGTCTCCTGGAATAAGCAGGAGAACACAGCTCCTGTTGAGCTGCCCCAAACGCCCCTTTCCTCCCCAGGCCATCATGCAGGCGGTGCTGGACGCGGCGCACAACCTGTGCCCCCCCATAGTGCAGAAGAGCGGGGCGAGGGACCAGCTGGTCAACGCCATGTCGGAGCGCATCCACCTCCAGGAGCACCTCAACCTCAGCGCCATCCTGGACCAGATGGTCACCGACGTCTTCAGCAAGCTGAAGTATGGGTGTTGTGCCTTTGGTTGGCACACTGGGGATGGGGATTGGAGAAACTCCAACAACGTGATGCTCCATCCTTGGATCTGGTTTGGGTTTTGGCCACGGGGTGATGTTCCTGCTGGAGCGTCGTGGCGGGAGGGCTGTGGGCTCCATCTCGCCTTGCTGCATGGGGTCCCGTGGCATCCCTGACGCATCTCTCCCTGCTCCCAGTGAGATCAAGCTGTCCGTCACCGCTGCCGTGGCCGACTGCATCGTGGATGCTGTCCTGGGAGATCTGATGGCTGCCCAGTGCAAGCTGGTGAGTGTCCACGTGTCCCCATGGGGAAGATGTGGCACGGGGGGCTCTGAGCAGGCACCACCAGAGCACGATGAGCATTGATTTGCTATCCACAAAGCGAAATGATCCCCACCAGGCTGCGGATCCTCCAGGGTCATCTTCTCCCAGCGTGGCTGCAGCAGAGTTAAGGCTTCATGGCTCCTCCACACCCCATGGAGAAGCGTGCTGGGTGTAGGATGGACCCGGCACCTGGGCCAGGAGCACCCGAGCTCTGCAGCCAGCTAATCAGCCCTAAATCCCCCGCAAATCCCAGCCGCGGGCAGGGAGCAGAGCAGCACTGCAGCAGCCAGAGGGATAATTTAAGCGCTTCCTAATGGTTTTAGGCAGAGAGCCTCCCCACGCATGGGCCGGACCTCCTGGAGCCTGCTGAGGACGATGCTGCTGTGCCGGCACGGGGCAGGAACCCCTCTGAGCTCAACGAGAGAGGCTTCACAACAGAGGAGGTAGGGCTCCGTCCCAGTGACCCCGCTGCTGCATGACAGTGCCCACGGGCTTTTATCCGCCTTAGGGGATGATGCTAGGCTTAGAGTCGCTGCCTCTGCAGGCTCAGGCAGCCTGTGGCACCTGGGGCACATCCCTGCCATGTCCCACGCTGCTCCCATCCCTCCTGGCACCCATAGCACGTAGGTGACGTGGGGTCTGGCACCTTGGCCATGTGGGTGGGTTATTTGGGTTCCAGGGATGAGCTGGGCCAGTGCAAAGGGTGCAGCCTTGGGGGTGGAGGGGTGGTTATGGGGCAGAGGTGGCCGAGTCCCATCATCCCAGCAGGGTGCTGGATGATCCGTGATGATGGATGACCCATGGTGGTGATGGGTGATCCATGAACGATGGATGATCTGTGGTGATGCTCAGAGGGCTGGAGCACCTCTCCTATGAATAAAGGATGAGGGGTTGGGCTGTTTAGCTAGGAGTAGAGAAGGCTCTGGGGAGACCTCACAGCAGCCTTCCTGTACTTGAGGGAAGCCTACAAGTGGGAAGGGATCCAATCTTCTACAGGGCCTGATAGTGATAGAACAAGAGAAGATGGCTTTAAACTAACAGAAGGGAGATACAGATTAGATGTCAGAGGGCAGTGAGGCACTGGCACTGCTGCACAGAGCTGTGTGTGCCCATGCCTGGAGGTGCCCCAGGACATGGATGGGCTCTGGGCAGCCTGAGCTGGGGGCAGGGGGCAGCCAGCCCTCCCCAGCAGGGAGTTGGAGCATAATGGGCTTTAAAGGTTCCTTCCAACCTCAGACATTTGATGACTGATTCTATGATGAACATCATGGCGGTGGAACACAGCCATCTCCCCAAACCACACGTCCCCCATGGCCTCCTGGGCTGTCCCCACACCACTGGTGACTGCAAACCACTACAGGCTCCCTCCTCCCTTGTCTCCTTGCAGTACAAGATGGCCCTGCGGAGGAAAAACAAACACTTCAGGAGCATTCGGCCCACGCTGACTGTGAGAAGTAAGGGTGCAGCGCAGGGGGCTCACACCATTAATTTGGGGTGCCATGGTGCTGCAATGCCTGGCTGACTCAGTGTGGGAGGATGCCCTGAGCTCCCTTCCAGGGATGCTGGCAGAGGTGGGAGGTTTGAGGACGTCTCGGGAGGCGTCCGTGTCTCCATTTGGGTCACAGGGATTGCATCCAGGGGGCTTTGCATGGAAGGGGGGGTCACCCACGGGTGGTTGCTGCAGGGTGCTGAGCTGTGCTGGCATATTTTGTGGGGTACAACCAGCTGCCACGTGTGGGCTGGCTGGGGGCAGCTGGAGCATGGCAGGACCTTGGATGGGGGGTGCTGGAGAAAGCACACGGCCTTTGGGTGACATTGGGTGCTGCGGTGCCTGCTGGAGTTCCTTAAAGCCTTGCATGCACATGGACCCCCAACATCCCGAATAACCCATATTGAGTGTAACCAGAGAGCGCTGGGAGAGCACATGGAAGGGAGGCAGACCCAAAGCAAGCCTACCGGCCGCGACCCAGCCCTCTCCCCCAAACCCTAACCAGGCATCAGAGGAAAACATCGGGATCTGGCAGCCGCCGCCGCCTGCTCTGTGGGCAACGCTGCAAGGGTCCCCGAGCATCCCTCCCTCCCCCTGCATCCCTGGGGGACCGCGCAGCGCCGTCGGCGTGGCAGCAGGATCCATCCCGGCTGCGCTGCACAGCTGACGCGCAATCTCTCCCCGCCGTCAGCAGCGCCGCGGCCGCGCGTTCCCCCCTCCCCACCGGTGGGCTTCTCGCCCTTCGCCAGGTCTCTCGGAGCTGGAGCTGCCGGCAGCCGGGAAGGCTCGTCCTGCTCCCACAAAGGATGCCGAGCCCTCCGCCGGCGCGCATCCCGGCACGCCGCCCGCCCAAGCCCTCATGGACCTGCCGACCGCCGGGGAGAGGCTGGAGCACTGCACCAAAGCCAGGCCCAGGCCCAACCGCCGGCACAAGCAGCCTCCCAGCAAGCCCACCGTAAGCATCGCCGCCGGGTCTTATTCCTGAGCGCTGGAGGGGGGGGGAAGGTGGATGGGTGCTGGGTTGTTTTATTGTGATTATTATTTTCTCTTGTCGTGCTGATGGAGGGAGGTGGGATGCATCTGCTTTATTATTCTATGCGCTGTGTGCCAGAGCTCAGAGGACGGGTCGGGGGCTCGGGCGCTCGCCCCTTGTTTATGAATCAGCGATGCAGAACTGCAGGAGGTGGGGCAGAGGCAGGGAAGAAGCCAGGGGCTGCGTCTCCCTCCATCCTTCTCCTCTGAACGTGCTCCTGTGTCTCGGGAATGAGCAGCAAAATGCAGCCCTACGCTGGGCTGGTGCTGGGGCTCGGCTCTGCCAACCCCGAAAGGCTGGGATGTGCTGGGCAGATGCTGCCTGCAGCAGTCCCCTTCTCCTCTAGCTGGGCTTGAAGCAAATTGCAACTTTTGGGTGCTCTGGGGGGGAGGCTGTCAGCCAGCCGGGTGCTGCCCCAGCAGCTCTGCCACCCTCTGGTGGGTGTTTCGTCACGCAAGAGGAACAGGGAAGGGATGTTTGGGGCACCCAAAGCCCACGAGGCAGTTGGTGGGAGCAGGATTGGATCCCAATGACACCAGCTTGTGCCCTCAGCACTGAGATGCGGCAGTATCTGGCCACCCACCAGAAACAGCCTGGCCACAGCCACTGGTGTCAGAGGAGGAAGGGGAGGCACAAATCCAGCCACAAAGAGAAGGCGTTGGGGATTGAGGCCACTGATGGAGAAGTGCCTTCTTCTGATCAAGAAATGCCACCAATGCTGTGCCACATGCTGGGGGCAGACCTTCCTCCACGGACAAATTCCTTGCCCTGGCACAGAGTTGGTGACCTCATCTCCAGGGTCTCCCCCGGCACCAGCTCCATTGCCTGCTGGGGACAGGGAGGTCCCTTTCTTGGGGCATACACCCCTGCCAAAGGCTTCCTTTCTGTGGGTCTGGGGTCAGAGACCTGGCAAGGCTTTGGGAGAGCTTGGAACTGGCATGCAGCCTGGTCACAACATGATGGGGCTTTCTGATAGTGGGTTCCAGCACCTATCCTGCACCAGCACCCAGTGAATCTCCTTGGGAGCTGGTGGCTCTTCAGGGGGTAGATGTGGCACTGAGGGACGTAGGGGGATGGGTTGAGGTTGGACTTGATAGCCTTAGCCTGAATGATTCTATGATCTTGGTGCACTGGGGTTTTTTTGGCTGATGTCAGAGCTCAAAGACACCACCTGTGGCTGAAGGCAGTGCCTGCCTGCAGGTACAGCCTGTGGCCCATGAGAACAGTGAGGACAGGAGCATCACCCGCGTGGATGAGGGCCTGGAGGACTTCTTCACCAAGAGGCTCATCACCGAGGAGCTGCCGTAAGCCGTGGGGGTGGCTGCAGCCCTCAGCTGGGTCCCAGCACGTTTCCATACCCACGCGTGGTGCCCCTGCAGGCCATGCTCTGGGCTGTCTTCACCCACTGTGCTGGCTGAGTGCTGAAGAGGTGCTGGGGAAATGGCACATCGTGCTCCAGGCACCCAGTGGGGCAGAGCTCGCGTCCCCATGGGGGTGTTTGCATGGGCACAGGGGTTGGGAAAGGCTGCGGTGGTGGCATCTGGAGGTGGTGATGGGTGGTGGCTCTTGGTGGTGGTGGCACCTGGCGAGAATGGCCAGAGCAAGGATCCATGATCTGGGGGGTATTAGGGAAAACACAGCCCTGTGCTGACCTTCCCTATGCTTCTTCCAGCAGCCCCACAGTGCTGGAGAGCGGCCCAGGCTCAGCCCCTCTGGCGTCCTCCAGCTCTCGCACCCTCAAGAAGAAAATTGGGAATTTTTTTGCTTTCAAGAAGCCCAAATCCAGCCGGAGCTCACGGTGTGAAAAGGAGCCCGAGGGCGGTGCGGCGGCCCCCAGGAGCAGGCGGTCGATGCTCAGTGACATTTTACGGGCTCCCAGCAAGGCGGGCGAGCCGGGCAAGGCTCTGAGCAAATCTGAGGAAGGGGCACTCAGCGCCGAGCCTGAGCACAGCCAGACCCCTGAGGCTGCCCGCAGGATCAGGCCCAAGTACTCAAGGGAGGGCAAATCCCAGTCCCTCATCCTACTGCCTGGGGAGGATGAGGAGGCACTGGGGGTCAGGCAGGACAAGGTAAGCATCGCTCCAGCCGGTCCCAAAACGTCCTCTTGGATGACTGTCACTGGGCCAGGTGCTGTTTCTATCATGAGTGGTGGTGGAGGGACATTGGATGACCCTTTGATTGCTCTTGGTGCTGTTGCCACCAAGGGGGGTGGTGGTGGTGGTGGTGGTGGTGATGATGGGATAGGGTGGGGGCTTGAGGACCCTTGTGCAGTACCTGGTGCCCCTGGCACCCCCAATAGACCTGTGCACCCCTTGTCCTGCCAACATCCTTCTGCCCTACAGAAGAGACACCTGGAGAAGAGCGATGGGGAGCTGCCCAACTCCTTCGAGCAGCGCGTCCACATCATGCTGCACCGCATGGGTGTCACCAAGGGCCTGGTCACCGAGAGCAAGAAGCAGCAGGTGAGGCTGGAGCTTCTTGTGGGCAGAGCCTGCACCCACATGGGTGGTAGAGGTGGTGGTCCCATGGGGCAGATGACACAGAGCAGTGCTGCTGCTGCTTGCAGCCACTTGTCCCATCACTTGGCCCCTACAGCGGGGACCACCTCTTGGGCTCCTGTGCACTGTGTCGGTCTGTGCATCCCTGCCATACCCTCTAGCTGTCACCATTTCTCTTTTTCATAGCAGAGCAAAGACAGCGAGATCAAGAAGGCCGGTTCAGATGGTGAGGGGCCTTCTTCCATCCCTGGGGGCCACCCTGAGGATCCTCACACGTGTACCCTGGGTTGGCTACGGGGTGATGAGCTCCACACCCTGAAGCCACTGGCCTGCATTTACAGGGGACATCGTGGACAGCTCTGCGGACTCCCCACCATCCCTGAAGGCTCGCACGCACTCCGTGTCCACAGGTACGTGGGGCAGCAGCGGGAAAGGGCAAGGTGAGGATGCCCAACCCAAGAGCCGTCACCCTGCCGTGGATCCATCCATCGGGGTCGCAGGGCTGTGCACTCATGCTCTGCCCCACAGATGCATCCCTGCGGGGTCCATCGGAGCCCAGCCCGGCCTGGAAGGCTTTGGGGCGGCAGCTGAACGCCGAGCTGACAGGTCTGGGCCGCGAGCAGCTCCGGCGTTGTTCAGCCAACCCCGAGCAGAGCGGGCAGCCGGCGTGCCGCGAGGCCTGGAGCAGCAGCCTGCCACGGCCAGGCAGGAGCCCCGCTGGGGAGCCAACCGCCGGCACCGCGCCGCCCGCATCGCCCTGCTCCGCTGCTGAAGGTACCCAAGGCACCACCGAGCCTCGGCGGCCGCCATCGGCCCCCGCTTTGCCCTCTGACGCCGTCTCTCATTGCAGACAACCGCCTGACGCCACGGCTGGCCGTGCTGGGCGCCCGCCGGGCTGTCTCGGTCCACGAGGAGCAGCTCAGGGAGCCAGAGTGCCTGGCGGAGCTGGGAAGTGAGTGAGAAACACGGCCTTCGTGCCTCGCACCTCCCGTCGTCCCCATGCTTTAACCGCCCGCTTGTGTTCCCCCAGCTGCCACGATCCCCCTCCGTCTGCGGCGGTCGCCTGTGCTGAAACGCAGACCGGAGGCGAGCGGTGAGCCGAGGCCGGCGGCGGAGGCAGGAGGTGAGGAACGGGGCGGGCAGCCAGAGCTCCCTGTGCTGAGCCAAGGCTGCGCTCAGCCCGGCCTTCGTGGTTTTGCAGGCACCGCAGCGCAGGAGCGGCTGTGGGCTGCGCCGGATGAGACACGGACAGCAAGCAGCGCATCGCACGGGGAGCGGCCGCCAGCCGCAGCACAGACTGTTGTGTGTGCACAAGACTCAGCCGTAGACCAAAGAAGCCCTGTGCAGGGCCTCGGGGAGCCGGCCCTGGGACAGTGAGCCCCTGCATGCCGCCGCACTGTTCCCAATAAAACCCTGCAAGCGAGCGCACGGTGATGGGGTGATGAGCAATGGGGATGTAGGGCTGCTCGGCACCCTGCGTCTGGGCAGCCTCACCGTCTCCTCGTGAAGGAAGCAGCCCAAGGGCATCGGCACAGAAGGACTGGGGCTGTCGGGCTGGACTCCGGCCGGGCACAGAGCTGCAGCCCCAGAGCCCCCACGAAGGGCGGAGGAGCACAGAGCACCATGCCCATCTCCGGCCCATGGGCACAGGCCGCTGTGCTGCAGGTGGTGGCACGGTTAGGACAGCTGCCCCTCCAGCACCCCGAGGCCCACGGATCTCGCAGCATGACCTCCAACCATCACCTTTCCAACCACTGCCCTGCCGCTCCCAGCCGCCACCAGCATCACCCCAAACCCCACTTTGGCTTTCTCCCGTGGCAACCGCGAGCAGATCATCTCCCCTCCACCTCTGGACCAAATGCATTCCCTGCACCGATGTTTACGACACAGAAGCAAGATGCTTGGTTGGTTTTTGGTTTTTTTTTTTTTGGTTTGTTCCCCCTCCCCCTTCCCCCCGGGCGTTGTTAAAATTAAAAGTCATATATTTTTTTAATACAAGAGCTGTGTATTTAAAAAATATATGACTTTTAATTTTAACAACACAAACCTTGCTGGATATTTTGTTAAGAAAAGAGTGTGGAACTCAACGAAACCGAGTCAATAAATGTCCAAATGCTGCGCTGGCTTCAGGAAGGGGATCAGGTTCCAGGGCCTGGTGCCTGCATCTGCCATCACTGCTGCCCATGCTACAGTGGGAACAGGTTCCCTCTCCTTGCAGGCTGTTTGCTCTAGGCTGCAATGGAAACACACTGCAGCATCCCCAAACAGGCGGCGTTCTCTCTCTCAAAACCAAGGATCTGTCACTGCCAGGGTCCCCGATGCCTGGCCAGCCACCACCCAGCGGCCCCTGAGGGACATGCAGCTTTAAAGGAAGGTTGCTGAACAGGCTGAATAAAGGAGATGAGCACGCTCAAGCTCCGCATGGTCTCATCTCAAAAGTCCACATCCCTTTCCGTGACAATCCAGCTCGCCCACATCATCATCGCCTTGGAGAGCCTGCAAAACCAAAATGCGAGCTGCAGTGAGACATGGACCCAATGGGAGGACACAAAAGTGCCCAGGTAGGCCCACGGTGGGACTGCTGCTCCAAGAGGGACAAAGCAGAGCTCAGGACCTGGCAGGGACAGAGGGACCCACTGCATCTGGGCTGCAAAGGGTGCCAGAGCAGATGGTTGTGCCCAGAGAACCGAGGGCTGGGAGAAGGCAGGGCGCATCGAGTCCATCGCTGCACTGACCTGATGGATTGTATCTGCTTGCAGAGCTCTGGGCCGGGGGGCTCGTATTTGTAGCGGGGTGGATTCTCATTCACATACTGTGGAAGCAAAGGAGACAGTGAGCCTGGTGCTGGAGCATAGCTGGCCAGCCACCAAACAAGACCACAATCCCATGACATATCCCAAGACCTTGATACATCTGCAGCAGCTCTTACCTCCCCCCCTCATTTCCTGCCCTCCCCATTTCATTTCTCTTGGAGACCTGGAAAAGCCTTCAGCAAGGGCTGCTTCCCACCCAGCTCCCTGCTGAGCATAGCTGCACTTTCACCCAAAGTCACACGTCCTCCCTGTACCCTGCATACAGCAGCTCTGTTCTGCCTCCCTAGCAGCCAGGAAGGCCTGGCTTAGCACGCCTGCTTTCCATTGCCCATCCCCAGCACAGCCTTACAGACATGCAGAAAGGCCTGCAGGAGGGGTGTGGGGACACAGAAACCCTCAATGGGTGCCACATGAGTCCCACAGGATCCCACCAGCTGCTTCATCCTTACCGGCTGCAGATCTCTGTGCTGCTCCAGGTGGTAGTTGGGACTTTTCACTGAGGATGCCTGCTCCTGCTCCTCCTCCTCCTCCTCCTCCTCCTCCTCCTCCTCCTCCTCCTCCTCCTCTTCTTCATCCAGCTCCTCATCTAGTTCCAGCTCCTCTTCATCCAGTTCCAATTCCTCCTCCTCGTCGAGCTCTTCCTCAAGGGATTCTTCTTCACACTGTGGCTCTATCTCCCTTCTGCTCTTCTTTGCTCTCTGTGGGCTCGTGAACTCCAGCTTCCTGCCCACTTCTCTCCCCGTGCCCTTAGAGGGGTTCTGGGGAGGCTTTCTGCGCTGCAGTCCACCGAGGGACCGACATGGGTGAGGCAGAGTCTGACCATCTCCCACTGACAGCTTCCTCTTGGCACCCGCAGCCCTTCTGGTCTTCCTTGGGGATTCTCCCCCTTTGGCTCTGGCATCACCCAGGTGTTGCTTCTGCGTATACAGAGGGAAAGCTGTGCCACTGGAGTCCGCCTGCTCCTGGTGAGGTGCCCTTTCAGCACGGGATGCCAAGTGACTGCTGGGCAGGACAGGTAAAACTGGAGAGACTGATGACACGTTGGCCTGAGAATCCTCTGGCCGCAGGGGGACTCGAGCAGCACAAGGGGCAGAGCAGGCTGCCTCTGCAGTTGACGTTGCCTGGGTCATGTCAGCCTTCACAGGGCTGATACTGCAATACGAGGTGAGCAGCGAGGGAGATGAAGTCTGCACTGAGTCATCCTGCAGCAAGGCCTGGGGAGAATCGTGGCTACAAGGTTCCAACAAGTCAGGGGTGTTGCTGTCGGCAGCCACCTCCTGCTGGGCCTCTTGAGTGCGTGGAGAGCTACACAGATGGGACTTCTCTGGTAAAAGAGGAAAAAAAGCAGAGTCGCATTGAGCAAAGGGACTCTGCAGGTGGTAACACATGGGAGCAGGAGCTGTGCTGGTATGTGAGACAGCGCAGGTGAGCATCACAGCAGGCACGGGAAAATGGCACCCTGGGGACATCAGATTAGCACAGCACTGCTTTTTGACCAGGGCAAGAAAGTCAGCATCAAGGAGGAGCTGCGTGTCCACACAGAGAGGAGTGGGGCTGTCTGCTCCCAGCAAAACATGTGTGCTCCACACAGCATGGAGACTCACCTTCTGAAGAGGACAGGGTCAAGGACACAGGGGGCAGCCTGTTCCAAGGGTTGTCCAGCGATGCCTCTGAGTCCTCTGACAGTACTGTTGACTCTGCAGCTGCAACAAACACAACCAGGATGTGACTGGATTGAACTGGAGGACCAAGAACGCTGCTGTCTATTCCCAGCCCTGCAACAGCTAAGAGTGGTGAACTGCACAGGCAGCACTCAGGGGGGAGCTCTGAAACCCTTCTAGGAGAAAAATCTGGAGTGATGGCTCAGCCAGATTCCTTCTAAGACCTCATTCGGGCAGTGGAGAGATATTGAGCACCCAGAGAGCAGGCAGGAGGAAGGCCTTCCTCTGCACCCTTTTCCTTTCTCGTGCAGGGCTAGCAGAGGGCCTGGCCTCTTGCTGCTGAAGCAGACACAGTCAGACAACTGGGGCATGTAAACAGCAGCTGCCACCTCCTGCACCCTATGTGCTGAGAGGTGAGAAACCACACAGCTCTTCACAGACTGTGACCTGATAATGTGGTCCCCATGAGGGACTCGCAGGTGTGTGCTGTCTCCTGGTGGCTGGAGCACAGCCTGCACTGCCCAGGACAAGCTGAAGGTGTGAAATTGCCCCCTGCTCACTCAATGCCAGAAGTACTCACTCCTATAGACCTGGCTCTGCTGCTATGTCCTTCACTTAATGCAAAGAGGTTGAGCAGAGGTCAGATGAAAATACTAAGAGGTCGCATGGGATGTGCATGTCCCACTACTTACACCTGGCCTGGGCTATGATGCTCTGATCGCCTGACACTGTCATTTCGTAGCCACTCTTCTCAGGAGATGCTCCACACGTAGCTGAAACAAAAGGGGCACTGCTGGTCACACCCCCAGCACACTGCTCAGCCTTCAAAGGAAGCCTTCTCCGCTTTCTAGAGATCCCAGGCAGCTGACAGGACTTCTGGTATCTCAGCAGTGTGGGGAGTGAGACATCAAGAGAAGGAATGTGCCAACCAGGCCTGTGACCTACAAAGCTCTTAGGGTGCTCTGTAGTCTAGGGGCCGCAGCTTTCAAAATTCCACTTTCTAGGTGTTTGTGGGGTGTGCTCAGACCATAACCAGGAAAAAGTCTCTTATTTCAACATGCTTGGGCACTGAACTGCTGACCTGCATACCCACCAAACGATGCCACAGCACTGACCTGCCTGGGAAGCAGCGCGGTCAACCTCTGCTTCCTCAGCAGGGATCACCAGGATGTTGGCTGGGACTATGAAGACGTCTTCATGCGGCTGAAATGAGAAACATTCCTTGTTTGTTTTTTTGCTGGGCGGTCCCTCTCAAGCCGCAGGAGCTCGCTCACAGGTGAGCATAGCTTCAATTCCCAACAAACCTCTGCTTTTTCCCCCTGCTCCTCCCTTTCCTCCTCCAAGCCCTCAAGCAGGGCCCCCGCCACGAGCTGTAGCAGCCCTGCCCCACATGGTCAACAGGGCTGGCTCTGCACCAGGCACTGCTCAACACTTGGACTGACCTCCTTCTGGAGCTCTGCCTCCCATCGGGTCACAGGGAGCTTGTCTGCCTCTGCTGAGGGTGTCTCTTTGGGCACCTGCAAATCCAAGCACTCCTCAGCGTTCTCCTTCAAGACCTCAAGCTGGTCCTGTGCTATCACTTCTAACAGCTGAGAGAGGGACGGCTCTGGAGCAAGAACACATCTATGTTAGTGGAGAAGATGCCTCAGCTCAGGCAAATGCTTTTACTTTTTGATGCGTGACAGAAACTTGTGGAAAGATGCAAAACTGCATTTCCTCTGCAACCAGAAACTCTTTTTCCTTTCTTTCCCCAGCCACACAGGTCTTCATGACCCTTACCTGAGCTAGGAGTGGTCCCCATAGAGAGATTCCTCCTGCAACGACCAAGGAGAAAGCCAGTGTGAGAGCTGGGTGGGCTCCAGTGTCAGCGGGATCACACCCATGGAAGTGACCTGCTTTGCACTCTCTGCTCAGCTCTGTCGCATCCGAGGGCAGAGAGTCCCACAGATTCACAAGGATCTACCTTCAAACACGTACCAGCCCCTGCCAGCTCACGTGAAAAACATTCAGTGCCTGCACCCTGGCACCGTGGTGCCTGCATGTATTCCCTGGCAATCACCAGCCCCATACTTACATCCAGAGCTCCTTTATCTTCTGTAGCACAGAGGGCTCCTGGTTCCTAGAACAACAGAGAAGTCAGTTACTGATGGGGCGTTCCCTCCCATGCACACATTCCTTCAGAGTCTGTGACACAAATATCTCTCATGCAGTGAGTACAATGATCTCTAACATAACCAGGTCACAGCAGCACGTCTCTTAGCTCATTACTGGCAGTGCATGCTGCTGTGCCAAGGGCTCCCGGCTTCAGTGCTACGTGGCAAACACTGTCTTCTCAGCTCCAGGGCAACGCTCAAGCCCCACAGACCAGCACCCCCAGCCTGCAGCCTGGCACATACACATTTGATGAATCCATCCTCTGCCTCTCCATGGGCAGCACAACGAAGCGCTGGGCGGTGAGATAAAACTCGCAGTCTTCCTGTTGGGGCAAACAGAGTCCATGTGGGATGGGCAAGCAGTCACAGCTCTGCTCCCTCCCACTTAAGGACTGGTGAGCACCTCCCCAGCCCAGCTAACAACCTCAACAGCTCAAAGGAGCAGCCTGAACTCCCCTGCAGCAGGTTTTGCACCTTCTGCATCAGCTGTTAGCTTTTGCAGCAGCCTCTTCATGGGCTATAAGCAAGGCTGAGCCAGCCTGAGGCCATGGGGAAGTGCCTGAATCTGAGCAGGGAGCTCTCTGCCACGGGCTGAGGTCCACACAGGCCTCCTGCAGGCACAGAGCTGGCAGCTCCAGAACAGCAAGAGGAAGCAGTCGGGTGGCTGAGGCCACTGCAGACCCTATGGGAGATGCACCACGTCCCCATGGAGGGCTCAGGCCATCAAGTCTTCTTCACTGTCACCACACAGCTTGCCAGGACCTGAGCACTGCAGGGCCACGGAGAAGAAAGGCTGGCCTCCACCCACCCCCAGCTCCATCATGCAGCTCTGGGAGCAGCTCAAAGCACGCAAGGAGCAAGGCAAGGTTAGGGAACAAATTACTTCCATGCATCAAAGTAACTTACCAGCTTGGCCTCCTCCCGGAAACACAATGTGTACTTCTGCAAGGTGATCAGTCTACAGATAAGGCTGGAAAGCATGAACTGCATGTGGGCACTAGAAAAAGAACAGAGCAGGACCATCTGGGAGGGACGAAGAATGAAGTCAGACCACCCACACCAACCATGGGGCTCCCCTTACAGCTACACAACACAGGAGCACAACGGAACACTTCTCAGCATGAGCATCAGGGACTGAGCTGCTGAGAGCTGCTTTATATCCTCCCTCTGATACCAGCAATTGCTCCAGCTGGAAAGCAGAGGGCTCGCATCCAAATGGGGAAACCAAGACAGGCTGCTAGCACTGACAGAGCCCAAGGAACCACAGTTAAGGTGTTTCCATCAACCCCTGCACATCCCAGCTAGCCACAACTGCAGCACCAATGCCTGTGTTCCAGCCTAGCAGCAGCACCTCCTTCACACCGACTTCCCACCCTGTTATTGATTTAGCTTAACACAACCTGAAACAAGGCCAGGCGGGAGCCCCACTAGCAGCTTTGCAGAGCTGCAGTCCCAGCCACGGCCGAGCCACGATGGAACCCACTTTTCTTCTGCCTGCAGAGCTTCTGCTGTAATGACCACTCGGATGTAGTGGGAGCCGTCTGAGACTTGCAAGACAGCATCCTGCTGCACTTCACCTTGGCCAGGAGCACTTGAGCCACTCAAAACCTACAGAGCAGGGAATGAAAAAAGCAGAATGAACATCACCCAGAGAACAGACAGCGATCGAAGGCAGCAGAGCACACCTGGGGAGCCCTCAGGATCTGCTCAGTCATCATCACAGTCTGAAGGGATCTCCCAGCAGGGAGTGGGGCCACAAAGCGGCCCAGCAGCCAACGTTTGGCAGCCTGCTCGTGTAAGGAGGCATCCCTCCAACATAATATGCATAATGCAGCTCTGGGCAGCCTGGTCTGATGGTCGGCGACCCTGCACACAACAAGGGGGTCGAAACAAAATGATCATTGTGGTCCTTTTTCAATCCAGGCCATTCTGTGACTATCATAACCCAGTGCCCTGCCTGCAGATCTCACACTCAGTGAGCATCTCACAGCTTCTTTATCCTCTGTCTCCAAATCACGCCAGCCACACCACATGAGGGTCTGTGATGCATCAGAGAGCTCCAGGTAGAAACCCAGCTATGTTTTAACATAACTGAATTATTCACTTGTATAACTCATTAAGTGATGATCTGAGCCCTCAGCGCACAGCTAATGACAGTTTAGCCCACAGTTCTCCACAATGCTGGCTCTGAAGCAGAGAGGAGCAACGCAGCGCTCACAGCCAGCTCTCACCCTTCCTCCCCAGCCAAACCGAGCTGCTGTTGGGTAGCAAGGGGACACCAGGGCTAGCAGAGAGCATGAAAGGAGACAGGAGTATGGACTCGGCCCAGCTGATTTCCTCTTTGGATTTCCTCTTCAGGCTGCCCATCATAGAATCGTTTGAGCTGCATGACTGGATGATTTAAAGATCCCTTCTGGCTCCACGGCAATGAACAACTCTTTGAAAGGGCAGATAACAGCAGGACAAGGGGAAACGGTTTGAAGTTGAGGGAGGGAAGATTGAGGTTGGATGTCAGGGGGAAGTTGTGTACTATGAGAGTGGTGAGGTGCTGGAACAGCTGCCCAGAGAGGCTGTGATGCCCCGTCCATCCCTGGAGGTGTTCAAGGCCAGGTTGGATGGGGCACTGGGCAGCCTGGGCTGCTATGAAATGGGGAGGTTGGTGGCCCTGCGTGTGGCAGGGGGTTGGAGCTTCGTGATCCTCGAGGTCCCTTCCAACCTGGGCCGTTCTGTGATTTTGTGAACAGACAGCTACACTGGATCACGAGCCCAGAGCCCCACGCAGCCTGACTTTGGGTGCCTGCAGGCAATGGGCATCCCCCATCCCTCTGGGCAGCCCACACCTCATTACACCCGCGCTAAACCTCCCCTCCTTCAGCTCCAACCCATTTCTCCTCGTCCTACCACAGCAGCCCCTACTACAAAACCTGTCCCCTTCCTTCTTCCGACCCCTTTGGGAACCGAAGGCCGCTTCTGGACGCAGCCCATGGCACAGCAGGCTCCCGGCGCTGTGAAGGCACGCCGCCGGCCACCAGAACCCCGCGCCTCGCGGCAGGCCGCTCCCCCGCACGGATACCCACCCGCAGCACCTGCCCCGTCAGCCACTTCTTCCCGTCGGGCTGCTCGTGGTTCAGCAGCAAGCCGACGATCCACGGCTGCAGGACGTAGAGACCGGGAGCGGAGAGATTCCTATTGCCGTACAGCAACCTGGCGGGGCGAGAGGAAGGGCCCCGTTTTGACAGCCGAAGCCCGGCAGGGCAGCCCGGCTCCCCCCGCCGCCGCCGCCGCCTCACCCGCCCTCGGCCGCCCGCTCCGCCGCTCCCGCCCCTCCAGCACTGCACACCGCCGCCATGGCCGCCCGCGGCCCGGGAAGGGGAAGCGCAGCCGGGCGGCAGCATCCGGGGCGGGGCGGCGTTCCTTGGGGCCGGAGCCGCCTCGTGGTTTGCGGGGTTGGGGATGGGGAGAGGATGGCGGTGTTGGGACGCAGCCGAGTTTATTGGGAGCAGCGCGCTCGGCGCTCTCCGAGTCCCCGTTCACAGGAGATCCCCGGAGCTCCTCCGGCTCGCACCGCTGAACTGAACCGTTCCTTCGTGCCCGTGCTCGGGTCGCTCCGTGCTGCGTTCAGTCACGTTGCTCCCTGCCGGCTGCTGGGGGACGCGCTCACACGGGGAGCATCGGGAGGAGCATCGCGCCCGCCGCCATGCTGTCACGCTGTTTTTTCTGGAGCACGGCTGCGATTTGGGTCCATCCCAGTCGGGCTCGTGGCCGCCCCAGCGCAGAAACGAAGCGAGGATCGCTGGGATCACCCTGAGCTGGGGCGGCTGCGGTGTGCTGGGTGGGAATGCTGGCCTTCCATTGCACTTCCAGCTGTGGCTGCTATGAGGGCTGAGCTTTGGGAAGACGGCCCCCCTGGTGGGTTTCCAAGAAGTCCGGAGGGTTCCCAGGTTTTCCAGCCTGTTACGGTGACAGAAGGGCTCTCACCTCTCCTGGCTGTTGTGCACAAAAATGGTGCTGCACACAGTCTGGCTTTGCCGATCCAGCCCCGAGGGACAGAGGACAAGAGGGAAGGTGGGAGGAGGCACCTCCGTGCAGGAACAGAGGTGGTTCTGGTGCCAAAACCACGAGGCTCACGTTTTGGTAGATGAGATGAGAGAAGAGGGAGGTATGAAGAGCGGCAACCAAACTGCAGCCAAGGCCTGCACGGGCAAGATGCTGCTTGTACTGCATCAGCTTTGGGAGCAGAGGTGGCTTTTCACGGGGCTCAGGACAGTGTGTATCACCACCAGGTGAGCGTCAGCTGTCAGACCTCCCAGACAGGGCATTCCTTGCCCGGGCAGGACGCTGGGATCCCCTTCTGTCACACAGCCACCAGGAAAGCTGGATCGAGGGTGTGGAGTAAAGCCAAGAGGCTGGCATGTTGCAGAGAGTTTTGTGGAGCAAAGAGCAGATGCAAGCCCTCACGGGAAAATGTGAGATAACTGAGTTGTAAAAGGCACCTGGAGGCACTGCAGTGTCAGCACAGAGGCAGACGGAGCAGTATGGCTGGAGTTCGCTTCCAATCTGCTCTGGTGACTGGGGCCAACCGGGGAATCGGCCTGGGCTTTGTCCAGCACCTGCTGGCATGGCCAAACCCACCTGAGTGGGTCTTTGCAACTTGTCGCGACCCCAAGGGACAGCGAGCGCAGGTGAGGCTGGGCTGGAGCTGAGGTGGGGGACAGCAGGGCTGCTGCAGGAGGGGGGATGTGGGAGGGTCTCCACCAGGGAGCTGCAGCCCTGCACCTCAGGCACAGGAGAACTGGGGCGGGATGCAAGCAACGGCGTGCCCAGGGCTCCAGAAGGGAGCTGCTGCCACTGCCTGGCACCGTGTGCCCCAGGGCTGCAGGCAAAGGGCTGGTGTTGGCTGAGCAGCTCAGAGTGCGACACAAGGCTCACATCAGCTGTCTTCTACAGGAGCTGCAGAAATTGGCCTCCAAGCACCCCAACGTGGTCATCGTCCCGCTCGGTAGGTGACACAGCTGGAGCACAAGGCTGCCTCCCTGGGCTCCCTGCTCGGCCAGCACGCCGGCCTCCCCCATCCCTGGTGCAGGGCTCTGTCCCAGCACTGTGCCTGCTGGCAGACACCGAGGGCAGCGGGCGCTCACCTCCCCACCTCGCCTCTGCAGAAGTCACCGATCCCGCCAGCATCAAGGCGGCCGCAGCCAGCGTCGGGGAGCGCCTCAAGGGCTTGGGGCTGAACCTCCTCATCAACAACGCTGGGATCTTAAAGGCAAACAAGCTTGACAATGAAACACTGAAGGACATGGCCGAGGTGTACACCACCAACACCATCGCACCTCTGCTGGTCAGCCAGGTAATGTGCTCACCCACAGCTCCAGGAACGTCCCTGTTCTGAGGCCTGGAGATCCTCTGTGGCAGAAGGAAGGGGCTGGTGGAACAGAGCCCTGGTCTGCTCTTGTACTGATGCTCCTGAGCTGCTCTGAGGAGCTGTGGGACAGGGGTTAGTGCTAAGGAGCTGGAACCTGGGGGGGAGGGGTGAGAAAAGAGGAAGATGGCTGCCAATGGTGCTGGTGCCAGCACTGCTGCTGTGGAAGGAGTTGGTCCTGTCCCCTGTGTGTGGAACCCTGAATCTCCCCTCCCCACAGGCGTTCCTGCCCCTGCTGAAGAAGGCAGCCCAAGGCAGCACGGGCTCGGGGATGAGCTGCAGCAAGGCAGCCATTGTCAACATGTCCAGCACTGGGGGATCCATTTCTTCTGTCGGTGGTTGGGATATAATGGAAGTTGTCTCATACCGCTGCAGCAAGGTATGGCACATACCACATCCACACACTGTGGAGGGAAAATATCCTTCCTCTCCCCTGCCCAGCCATGGGATCTGCACGTGTCCCCATGCTGCACCTTCTCATCCCCACCTGATCCCTGTGCTGTCTCCACAGGCTGCTCTCAACATGCTCACCAGGTGCCAGTCCATGGGGTACCAGGAACACGGCATCCTCTGCGTCGCTTTCCATCCTGGCTGGGTGCAGACAGACATGGGGGTAACAGTTGGACACACGGTAGGAGCTTCCCCACGTTGGGTCCATCCACAGCCTGTGCTGGTCTCCCACGGAGGCTGCTGTCTCCCGGAGCCCTGCACCAAGACCCCCTCAGGGCGCTGCTCCGTCAGCACCATGGCAGCTCTCCCTGCCCTGGGACCCCTGCGCAGCGCCAGCCCCGGCTCCTGGCAGCCCCGCCGCCCGCCTTCCCAGCTCTCACCCTCCTCCCAGGGCTCTGCTTCCCCCTGCTCCCGGCCGCTGCCTTCCCGCAGCCGGGCTCCAGGGCACAGCCTGGGCAGCCCTTGGGCACACACGCCTGCGTTTCTCCCTCTGCCCTGCAGCCCCCCGTGACGGTGGACGCGAGCGTAGGAGGGATGCTGAAGGCGCTCTCCAAGCTCTCCGAGAAGGACAGCGGGTCCTTCCTGGACTGGGAAGGGAACGTTGTGGCCTGGTGAGGTGCTGGCCCGGCCTCGTGCCTGGATCCTGGCAGTGGCCCCTCTGCTGCTGCCCGACCTCTACTAAGTCTTCAATAAACCCATATCTGACAACAGCAATGCTCTTGGCTCTATCTGTGAGCACAACAGGCTCTGTGGAACCCCATGGAGGAAGGCTCCTTCCCAGGGGGTCCCACCCCTCATCTGTGTGTATCAGAGCCCACTGTTCCCAACCACAGCCACTGCCAGGTGTCCCCTCAATTGACAGATGTCACTGCTGGAAACATCCCCTCCAGAAAGGCCAGGATTGGGGGCCAATACCTGTCTTTGAGGAGATGAGCTGCCTGGGGATGGGAGCAGCGCAGGCAAGGTGGGGGTATAGGATCTGTCCAGCAAGGGTTCCTTATGAGGGCTGAGGTAGGGGGAGGAGGGAGCATAGGGTGATGCAAAGTTAGGATGCAGGGCACCGAGTGGCTGCACGTGAGGTGGGGAATGGGGAGAAGCTTCTGCCCATGTCCGTAAGTGGGGAAGAGTGACATGGTTGTGTTGAGCTGGCATCACCAGGGCAGGCGGTTCCCTTCCCAGTCAAGGAAGGCCCCACAGGTCTCCTGTGAAAGGATGCTCAGCACCTCCAGAATGCCCTGCATGCTGCGCTCCACTGTCAGGGGTGCCTGTGGAAGAGGACAAGGAACAGGATCACTGCCACATGCCCTGTGATGGGCAGGAAGAGCTGCAGGGTCTGACCAGGCTAGAGGGTGCATGGAAGCTGCTGCGCCCTTTTGTCCTAACTCGAATGGGGCTGGCTGCCCATAGAGATATTCTTCCTTCTTGCCAGTCCTCTGCTCTCCGTGTGAGGGACAGGGCTGGCAGCCAGTGTCCCCTGCCAGCCCCAAGCAGCTGCAGAGCCTCTACCTCCACACACAGAGCTGCAGACCTCAGAGCATTCCCTTGGCTCCAGCTTCACCAAGCAGCAGGGACACAGCACCCGTTCCTTGTGTTTCCTGCACAGCAGCATACCTGCTCCGTCCCCATGTCGGTCTTCACCCAGCCAGGATGGATCGCTGCACACAAGATCCCCTTGTCCCTGAGCTCTGCAGCCAGGCACCTGGTCACCATGTTCTGGGCAGCCTGGAAGAGTCAGATAGCATGGGCACGGCTCAGGCTGGTGCTCTGAGTGCTCATGCTTGTAGGACCAGGCAAGGGATGCCTGGAGCAGGTCCATGGGGGACTATCCCCAAATCCCCCCCTGCCCCCTCACCTTGCTGGCACGGTATGGGTACATGGGGGCCTCGAGCACCCCAAGACACAGCCCGATGGAGCCCACTTTGGAAGACACATTGATGATGGCAGCCCTGCTGCAGCTCAGCCCCTCCGTCCCTGCGTCCTTCGCCGCCTTCTCCAAGAGCGGTAGGAATTCCTGGCAGGAAGATATGCGTTAGAGCTCTGTTTTCAGCCTTGCCCTGGAAGTCCTCACACCATGATTACAGGCCACAGAGGAGCAGCCCTAGCCCACACACACCTTGGCAACCTGCAGGGGCCCCACCACGTTGACTGCAAACACAGTGAGCATCTCCTGTGCATCCACAGACTGCAGCGTGGCCTGCGAGCCGACGCCAGCGTTGTTGATGAGCAGGTTCAAGCCCTGGCCCTGCAGATGAGTCTCCACAGCCTGCACGGCTCCACGGATGCTGGGCAAGTCCACCGTGTCTGCAGGGCAAAAAGAAGAATGTGACTGCATTCACTTTATGGATTTGAGGGGTTATTTTGTAAGTGCTGCCCGGAGGAATGCTACAGCTATTCATGGAGACTTCCTCCAAGAGCTATAGGGCTTGCTGGTGTATTGGGGAAATATTCATTATCTTATTGACTTACATTCTGATCTTTCCTGGTTGATACCCAGTCTGATGGGTCATTGAGAGTGACCTTTTCATTTTCCAACATGCTGAAATTCATCTTTCCAGGATACAACATGAAACCTTTCCTTGCAGACTGCGATTCCCATCCTTCTCTTACCTACAAATGCTCCAGCCCCCCTACACTACATAGGAGTGGTACGTTTTAAGTCTGTGTTTTCTTAAGGTTTGCTTGTCAAGATCTGTATCGCATGATGGATGCTTGCCCCACTGAAATGTCCCTCATTTCTTTAAAAGGAGACATCTGAACACCTGGCAGATCTGAAACGAGCCTGGTTAGACCAACCGTTAACATTGGCAATACATTTTTATGTCACAACTACACAAGCCCTTAAGGTCTATGAATATTCACATTTGTGGGTGCTGCTGAGGATGAGTCCCAGTGCACACATGCTCTGCAGAGCCTGCTGCAGGGAGAATCTGGGAGCCAGGCCCCCACTTGCAACATTCTGCCCCCACTTGACTTGTGTTCTCAAGCTTGCACAAGACTGAATTAGCAAAGATGGGAAGAGCTAAAGACGACTTGTTCTTCCCTTGAGCACCAGAATGACCCTTTTCTGGGGCATTTTGAAGTAGTCTGGTAGGTTTATGGTTGTGGCAAGCAAGCCTTAAGTCATCTTATAAAGCATTTGAGTGATCTGGGAGTCAAGTATCCATGGGGCAGCATAGATTTTGGGAAGATGAATGCTACCTTACGGAAGCAGCATTTTTTTTTTTTCTGACGCCCAGCTTGAATTTGGAGTTATTTGTGATTTGGGGTTTTGACCTCTGTGCTGAGGCATGTGAACCCCTTGGAGCAAGAGCCTGAGCTTGTTCAGATGCTGCTCAGCTTGGGGCTGTTGCTGGTGGTACTGAAAGCCTTCGCCATTGCATTGGGGAGCTGATGGGGATGCAGCAGTGGGATTCAAGAGGATATTTGGGACATCACATTGCTTGCATTGGAGGGGAGTTGGGCTAGATGACCTTTTAGGGTCTCTTCCAACTCAAGTGATTTCATGATTCTTTGGTCTCATGAAGGATATTTCTCAACAAGCTTTATGACAACTTCTTTTTGGATGATGTACAAGCAGAGCTCCAAGCTCCATTACTCCAGGTGTCATTCACTGGCTTGGGTGAATGATTAATGTCTGTGTTTGGACTGGCTGAGTCATTGCTCCAAGGGAGAATGGGGCCAGGCATGCGTGACAAGCACATCCCTATTGCTACACCAGCCTAATTAGCTGAAGGCAACTTCTCCTCTCCTCTCCACAATGGCTGAAATGGTGCCTTCAAAGCAAAATGCACACCCAGATCCTCAGCTTTCAGATGGAAGAAAACGGGGTTAGAAAGGGAAAGAAAGAAATGCAGAACGAAAGGATACAGTGGGCATTTCAGAGTTAATTTCTTTCATTTCTGAAACACGTGTTCCTATCATTGGTTTGAAGTAAACCATTCCCTTACGTGGAGGAAGGCAGCCTGGAGCAGAACTCCCTGTAGATGAACACCCCAACTTTGGCAATGCAAAGTGCCATTCTCTGCAGCTCTCCCTTTTATCCCATGCCCTTGTCTTCTCCTCTCCTGCTTGTCACTCCACCTGGCAGACATCCCAGCTCACCAGGCTGAAGCCACAAGGCTGCCACCACCAAGGTCTAGCAAAGACATCCATAGTTGCGCCCCCAGACGAGTGGAGGGCACAGGAGGGAGGAGGGCCAGGAGCAGCAGAGCCTTATGAAGGAGTGGGGTTGCACCATACCTAGATGGATCAGCTTGATGTTGGGGTGCCGGGCTGCTAATTCTTGCAGGGCCTGGAGACAAGGGCATGGAGCAGGGGGTTAGAAGCCACCAGCAGCACTGCTGTTCTTCCCACCCATCCCATCCTCGTCCCCGAGGAGCAGACTGCGGTGGCTTTGCTCTTGCTGGGGAAGCTGTCAGGTGAAGGGGGGCTGCTGGGCTCGGTGCTGTCCCCAGCAGGGAAAAGGGGATGACTGGCTCGGTGTGAGCACCAAGGTCATGGGCACCACATGGGCACAGCCCACCTTCCCCTCGCCCTCACAGCACCCAACCAAGCTTGCTCCCAGCAGACACCCAGGAGGGGCCGTGATGCCCCTCACTCCCCTGGCTGGCAGACATCCCCATGCACTGACCTTCCCTCTCGGACCAGTGACATCACGGCAGGTGGCAAAGATGTGCTGTGGGGGTTGGGGGCTGGCGGCGAGCTGCCTCACCAGCTCCAGCCCAATGCCCCGGTTGGACCCCGTCACCAGAACGCTCCGAGCCAGCGTGGCCATCTCCAAGGGGGTGAGACAGTCACAGTGGTGACAAACAGGCTGCTCCCAGTGGAACTGCAGCCTGCTTGGCGTGAACGGGAGAAAAGGCACAGCCCAGGGAGTGGCTTTGGGTGCTCATGGGGATAGAGATGGTGCCAGCAGCAGCCCTGGTGCCTTGGATGCCCTGGGACCAGGGTGGGCACGCGTCATGGGGTGATGGTTCTCCTTGCATTGCCTGCTCTCCAAGACTTGACTTCTTCTCCAAAGCCCCAGATCCCAAGTCCATGCAACCACAGGAGAAAGGTCACATCCATTCAGAGCTTGGAAGCGTGCTTGGAAACACAACCAAGAAATGGAAGGGACACAAGCAGGTCCTCCTTGTAGCAGTGGGGTTGCAGCAAGCTCATTCTTTATGCCTGCTTTCCCCCAGGAGTCAGCAGAGAAGACCCCTGGCTGCCCACAGCCTCAACCACTGGGCACCCAGCCCACAGCCTTCACCCTTTTCCCCGTCCTCACTCTACCACCCATCATCCAGGGAAGGACAGTGCTGGATGCTTAGCAGGTGCAACAAAGCAAAAGCTCCTGCAGCCCAAGTCAGCCTGGGGACACGGATTTTTAGGAGGCAGAAATGAGTAACGTGCTAAAAAAAACAAAGAACTGCCATGTAAAAAGTGATGAGCTGAAGAACAGGGGCAAAGTGAATTGAAGTGGGAGAGGAAATTTTGGACAGGAATGTACTCTGGGGTGAGTCTGTTGCATCTGGATGTGGCCAAATGTACACGGTGCTCAACCAGAGGGGACAGAACTGGCTATTTCATCCATATCTGGACAGCTGTAAGTCTGGCACTTATTAAAGAAATACATGGGCCAGCAGCTGGGAGATGGTGGAGTCGCTGTAAGTTTGGAAGGTTTGCTTTCAGGTGACAGAGAGCTCAGAGAGGGATAAGCAGTGATGGC